TGTTCTTGTAAAAAGCTTAGAAAATTCGGCTAAAAACTTAAATTTAATTTTGAAAAAGCTTTTCAAGTATTTTTATTTCGAGAAAAACAAAAAGAGATAACACGCTAAAGCCAAAAAGATAACAAAAATGAAAAAAAAAATAAAAAAAAAAAACAAAATCCAAGAGAAAATAAACAAAAGAAGTAAGAATAAAACGCCGTTATGCCGCTTGCATGTGCGCTCATAAAATATAAATTTATGATGCTATTGCATAATACATAATTTCCAGTTATATAATCAGGCAGACAAATGCCAAGAGGGGGTACACACCGGTTGACTTGACAGCGAAAAGCGAAAAGAATCCAGAAGCAGAGAAAATTCATAATAATAAGCTGGAAATAACTAAAGCAATATGGAGGCTCATACTACAATATATATATATATATATCTATGTATATTTTAACGCTGTTGTATAAGCATATAAATGCATAAGCTTTTTTCCACTGTGCATATATATATATATATGTTGTCAAATTGTTGTTATGACAGCAGGTGTGCTTATATTATTTATAATGTTCGTATATATGTACATACGTAAGTATGGACATTCATATATACATATGTATGCATGTATTATTGTATTTAGTTGCCTGGCAGTAGCACACGAAAAATTACTTTTCCAGCATTTTTGGCAATAAAATCAAAATTTACTACTGTACACACAGAATGAAATGTGCATCATAAAACAGCAACAACAACGAGAAATAAACAAACAGAAATAAAATTCATAATAACAAAAATACAGTAATATTCGTTCAAATGCGAATGATAACATTTTGAATACGTTTACATGTGTATGAACATACATATACACACTCGAAGAATGGCCGTTTTCTTCCGCATAGCACCTGCAGTTTAATTCATCTGAATTGAATTGGAAAATTTACGTCTTTATGGCTTGTGGCAACAACAATCACCGCGTTAGTCGGTTTATGGCATTGCTGACAGTGGATATTTGGTTCCATATTGATCGCATTTTTTAAATTTAAAAAATTTCGTTCTCTCTATTTACTTATAAAAATACTCAAAACGAGGAAGCGCGGAAACAGTTATACACGGATGGCATGTGAAAGCGGTTTGGTAGGGCGTATGAGCAACTTTGTTGGCATTTATTGAAAAGTCTCATATTTTCTACTGAAAAAGATTACAAATATACTCACAACTACAGTACGATGACTCACGGTATTCTTGTGTTGATTTAAAAATTATCATTTTGGGTAATATACTGTAAAAGGGCATGAATTATTGATATAACTAACATTTGTTGGAATTGTCCCAATTTTTGAACAAATTGCTTCACTTCAAGTGAATTTTCACTTGTTGCAATTCAGTTGCGTATACGCTGTGGCGTACTATAGTTACTTTGAAAAATGTAAGTGAACTGAAAGAAGGGTACAATTTATTCTAAGCCGCCTCCGTATGTCCGATTGACATTTATGAGGAACCTTATTTTCATGTCAGAAATACAGTCGTTGGGCTTGACATTCACTTTTGGGAGCAAATGTAAAAATTCACTTTCTATTATTTTATAATGTTAATCGAGCCAGGACCCGAACAGCAAGTAGTGGTAACCACTCGGCTATTGCGGCCTAAAGGATGGTTCTTACCATTGCAATCATTTTGTGTACATATTTATTTACGTATGCAGGGCTGCAAATAAGGTTAACAATGCAAAATTGAAGCCTCTCAGGTGGTTTACACTTTAGGTAACCCAATTCATAGCGCAATAAATTCTTTGTATATGCACTATATCTACAAATGCATTTTATAACCGCGCCACTCTCATTTGCTTTTTGCCTCAATGAATTAAATCTTTTTGGAAGAATCATCAAAACAATTTCAAATCTCATTTATGCAATCAGTCATTCATTGGAACAGGAGAGGTGGGCAGTGTGGCAATCAAACTCATTTGTTATTCATTCAGACATTTTGCGTACACCACCGAACAACAACAACAATAACCAAACGGAACAAAAAATGAACATTAATCAGTCAGCATGGCCTGCTCCAGTTTGTTTGCTGTGCTTGGTTTTTCGTTTTTTCCTTTCAATTGCTCTCTTTCATTAGCATCATCCACTCCGTGCCATGTCAAATTTACATTTCGTACACAAGACATTCACACATTCCGTTGGGCTGACAGTAACATTTAATATTAAGCATTCAAAGCCAAAATGCGGCGTGAAGCTATTCTCTGATCGCTACCCATTGGAGCGTCAACCACTCAACTCGCTTGCAATCGTTTGGGCTCATTAATTATGATTAGAGATTCGTTTGCGCATGAATGAATAATGGTAATTGTAATTATTAAATTCTCATTATTGGCGCAAATGCGCAAGTAAACCAAATGCTATTACAACAATAGCATACCAACAATAATAAAAGTCGAACCGATAATTGCTAGTTTTGCTGTTGTTGTTGCTGTTGTTGTTGTCGTCATCAACATCATCAAAACACAAACAGCTGTGATAGTACGGCGAGAGGAAAAATTCAGTATTTCACACATTTGCCGACAAACTGCCTCCAAGCGTGTTTTCAATCGTCGCTACTGCCGGCCGGCATGAACGCAGCTCCATGTCATTGACCATATTGACGGCAACATTAATTAAACTTAAACCTATAACCAGTTGAACGGTGTTTCGAAAGGTGTATTAATTTTGTTCTCTTAAAGGTTGATTGTAACAGCACAAAATAAAAGAAATAGTTTTCAGTGACCACCCTCCAATCTGTGGTTTTGCATGTCAGAAGTACACTCCAATTCGTTGGAGTCTACCCAACAGCATTCAGACCCACCTTACGGATTTGCTTTTATTCATTGTACCGTAGATATGTCGTATTCATGTGCTGGAATTGTTGTCACGTTGTTGCTGTTGTTATTTTCATTGTTGCTTTGGCTGAATTTGTCCGCCGCGCGTGTCTAACAACAAATATCTCGTAGTAATTTGTTAGCAATTTGGCTACCGCGCGTCGTCCACTAGTGGACAGAGAAACAACAATGTGCTAATGTATATACACACGTGCGTAAATATAAATGTTAGTATAGGTTTTATGAATGCGCGTCGGTATGTTTGCGTTGTGCCGTCGAATATGGTGTGATTGGGACGCGTGCGCGAACGCGCTCTTTCAGCGTGTGATAAAATAATCGCTTTGAAATGTATTGAAAGTTACAAAAAAAAGAAAAGCAACAAAAAATTAACTAAAACAACAACAACAACAACAACAACATGGAAAATAGCATCAACAACAATGCAAGCAATTTCAATAGCCGCGCGTTCGCTGCCATATAAATTTATGAGTTTGCACGAAATTTTTATTACCATTCCTCTTTGGCATTTGCGTTTTTCTTGTATGTGAGCTTGTACAATACAAACTTATAAGCATACATATGTATGTGTGCATATCTTCATATTTGTATTTATAAAGCAAGTTGGTGTTCTCCGATATGAATATAAATAGCTTTGATTACTTAAATATTCTACATACAAATATATGAAAAATAAGGTACGATTATTTGTATGCAGAATGAATTTTTATGGGATTTGTGTTTAGAGTTACTTACTTTTCAGTTTTATTTTTCTATTGCTGGCGAGCATTGCCAGATAAAAGAGATATAGGGAATTTTGCTAATTGTCGGTAAGTTGCCTTTAGCAAACCAATTAAATAGTGATATTTCTTTTTATTTATTAGATGCAATATTAACAATTTATACTAAATGTTTTGCCTGCTGCGCCATCTCTAAAAGTTTTTAGTTATGCGTGAGAGCTTGTACGGCTATTGAACAGAGAGGAGTTTTAAGTTGTAAAGAATTTGGTAGAATGTTCTTAATAATAATGCTACCGTAATTCCAGTATATAACTAAACATAAAATATTAGCAAATATTTCATTATTAATATTTTTTTCTGAATGTTCGCAGCGTTCACAGTCCCACCGGAGTTCCCTAAAATAATCATGAGCAAATTTGTATATTTGTAAGCTAGTTTCAAAATTTATATTTTAATTTTTTCGCTAATATTAGTTGTTGTGGAAAATAAAAAATTTGACGTCTTGCTTACAGTGTCATCTATCGAAGGTTTTGGCCACTAATATGTACTTTTAAAAGGCTGTTGAGAAGACAAAGCTTCGAAGTCTTTGAGTCTGAATCTCTTTGTGCAATTCTCTTAAAGTGAGGGGAATTTCCGTTGATTGTTAGACATTACAATGTAAATATTATTGATTTTTGTGAATTGATATAAATTTTTTTGTTATATATTATATTTATTTTTCCGCCCATCGAAAGAATCTGTTGCCATACGTGCTTGTAAAACTTTTGAATGAAATTAGGTTTTGCATTTGCTCTCAGTCAGCGGAAGCGCAAGAAATTGAATATTTGTAAGAGAAATAAAGTTTCACTATTTCTTTTCGTTAATCTTAAATCGTTTGTTTTGTCTTGAACAAAATGCACTGCGGACGTCAGGAACAACAGCTTTCTTTATCTCAAAGTCTTCTATTTCAAATGGCTTGCTCTTTGTGCTTGCCCTGCTCCTTTCCTCTTGCAATTTGCAGAGGATTTTAGCTAAAAGCACGTACGAATTAAGTGCGTTATGAAAGATTTGTTTTTAGTTCAACTAAGAAATTTGAATATGTAAATGTATACAAATATTCAGTGGATTGAAAACCAAAATGGGTAGGTGGATGAATTTCTGCGACTTGTATATTTTTAAATCAGACATAAATATCAATTTTTGACCAAAAAGTAAACAAAAAATATTTTTTTTGCCGTTTTCATTGTATTTCCTTAAATTTTTTTCTTTAAAATTTTTTAATTTATTCACTAAGTGAGTTTTTAAAAATTTATTTGTATTTTTTTTATATATAAAAACTAATGCCTTTAAATTTTAAATTTAGTTTTTTTTTTATATAATTTTAATAGAACTTTATTTAATTGTTTTTTAAATAAATTTAATTTAATTTTAATTTTTTTTAGGCTCCTGCCCTCCCACCTATTTTACCTGTTCCGATGGCAGCTGTATACCAATGCGTTGGAAGTGCGATTCCAAGCCTGACTGTGCCGATGGCTCCGATGAGCCGAGTGACTGTGGTGAGTGTTTTGGTTGTGGTGAATTTAAACACAAAAACATTCTAACAACGAATGTGGAATTTATTTAACACGGGATTATGTAGCCGATTCATAATATCGCCAGGGATATGCATGTTGCCTATATTACATATTTCTATTATAAAAAAATAGTTAATGGCGACCGCAATCGCCGAATGGTTACCATTGAGTACAAACATTCGAAAGGTCAGGGATGTGCTAGACACTCTGCAGGTAATGTCATGCGCTCCGAGTGCGTTACTGACATGAAAATAAAAAACTCCTAATGAAAATACAACGGATGTTCGGAATTGGCTTCGAATAAATTTTTGGTCCCTGCGTCTGTGGGAAAGTCGGAGGAGGAGCTCGGGTGGTTACAAAGCGTTTGTTATATTATATATCCATAAAATTGAATTACTTAACATCTGTAGTAATAATTCTATCCATACTCATTAACGACAGCACTGATATTTTTTTTATAATTTCAGTGAACGCTTCCAAATGCAACGAGGGTCAATTTCAGTGCACGCATTCCAGAAAATGTATACCCAATAATTGGGTTTGCGATAGCGAGTACGATTGCGGCGAAATCGATACATCGGATGAGACGAATTGTAAGTATTGCATTGTTTTTTTAGAACTACGCCCGAGAATAATTAAACCAATCTTGGCCGGAAGAAAATATTGCAAACCTGAGCATTTCAATTTGAAGTTGAATAAATTTGCTATATTCGCACACAGGCCATTCCGTTGCATTGAAATGCCTGCCGTATCAGAGTGAATGCAGCAACGGTGTCTGCCTGGACATATCCCGCTTCTGCGACGGCTTGTGGGATTGTGATAGCGATGAGCTCAATTGTGGTGAGTTAAGAAAAAACATACACTAATTCGATAGATTTTATAATAATTAAATAAATTATTCTTTAGATACACAGGATGCACAATGCGCGCATCTTAATTGTTCCTTCAATTGCAAGTTGACCACACGGAACGGACCCACCTGTTATTGCCCGCTCGGCCAGGTACCCGTCAATGGTACACAGTGTGCCGACTTCGATGAGTGCAGCGTAGAGGGCACCTGCGACCAGGTGTGCCACAATACGCCGAGTTCGTATGAGTGCAGCTGCGTGGCAGGCTATGTGAAGCAGAGGAATCACTGTATGGCTATAAATGGTGAGTGGGAAAATATATAAAAAAAGATATATGATAAAAGCAATTAAAAAATATTTGATTTCTTCATTAATTTCCGCACACGCATATACAGTGCCACCGAGTGAAAACGCCTCACTTGTTTTCTTCACGCAAGACGATATGCGTCGCGTGGACAGCAACGGTGTGCTACTTGACCACTTTGTGTCCGGTGAAGTGTCTGCCATCGAAATTTGGCATCGCAATCGTACCGTGTGTGCCATGTACTCCAGCGCCTGGACGACGGTCAGCATGCGTTGTCATCGTATCGATGATATGAATGTCAGCTGGCCCATGCCGTTGCCGGGAATTGTGGCCAGCATGCTTTGTAAGTATACCCAACGCAAAGAAAAAATCAAATTTAACATCGAAATTAGGGTAAAGTTGAATATAATTGTAAATTAGGACTGGTGTTCAAAATTTTATAAAATATTTAAGCATTAAATTATGAGAAAATTTGTATCCAATTATATTGAAAGCTTATTATTCTTCGTCAGAAGAAATTTTTTATTTATTATTTTGAATTAGAAAAATTTGAGGCTCCACAGAAAAAGAGGTGGGTTGAGTGTCTTAGACAACAAGTTGGAAGCAGATTTTTATTATGCTAGACGACAGCTTTCACAATCTAATCTTGTGACCTTATTTATAACTCTTTGCAGCTATAGATAAACTCTTGTTAGACTGGATATCTGGTAATTGGTATTTCCTCAATAATGAGCTGAGTCTCGTCTTCATGTGTACGAATTCCATGAAATATTGTAATGTGCTATTGGAGGATGTCATGAATCCCTCATCATTGGTGTTGGATCCCACCAAAGGGTAAGCAATCTGCTGCAGAGTATTACACACATACATACAAATTTGAATTCATTGCTAACGATAGCCTTTACATTTCCTTTCTTTCACATTTCACAACGGTCGTTCGCTCATCGGAATGGGTAATTGTAATTAACGCATCTGCATCTGCCGCTGTCATCGCTTTTATGTTTAAACCGTTGAACAGTTTCTTGTTTTTTACCGAATGGAGTCCCACTTTATCCCGCGTCACTCTAGACGGCCGCAATCGCACCACTTTGGTTTCAACGCAAATTTATTATCCCAGTCGCATGGCATTGGATTTACCCAACGAACATGTTTACTGGATAGATATCTATAAGGATTTCATTGAGCGCGTCGATTACGAGGGACGTAATCGTTGGGCGATGAAGAAGACCGCAGATGTAAGTTTTGAGATATGTAATGTGCATATGTCTGTGGGTATGAAGACATGACTATTCATAAAGTACCAAAAGTATCGTAGTTACTTCCACGGCGTATGCGTAACTTTTTCCAATTCAGAAATATAATAAAAAAAATTAAGAAAAACAGGCAGGTAAAGTCGTTTTGAGCATGTTGAAAGTTTACTAACAGAATTTAAATTATTGGTTAAATTTTGACAACAGTTTTCTAACTGCACTTGGAACAACACTCATACATATGTATATTTTTTTTAAAATCCCTGACAAAATCTTAAAAAATTATGTAACTTAACTCATGAAATAGTTAGCAGCACAGAAAACTATATACAAAATATCAGTCATGCTGTAAATAAGGCAATTATCGCATATCGTACTGATAGGGCGACCGAGGCGGTCTAACCTGCACTAAAACCAAGGATAGAAATGCCAACAGTATATAAAATATCGAATATTCTGGGCAATAATACTTTTGTGGATCTCTGAAGCATTTTATTATTTTCGAATCAGATTTCAGAGAAATATAGTTAGAGTATAGGGATTACATTTTATTTTCCTGAAATTCTTTAGCTGCGGATCAGTTTTTTTTATCTGCCATCTGCATCTGTTTTGCAGACTCACTTTGTACTCAAATCGCTACATGCTGTCGAAGTTTTTGAAAACACCGTCTACCTAGCGCCTTGGGTTGATACCGTTATTGTTAAGGTCAATAAATTTACGCTAAAACCTGAGCAAATCGTGGATGATGCTGACAGGCCATATGACTTTCGGGTTTTCCATCGCCAGAAGCAGCCGGAAGGTAACTTAACTTATTAACTTATTTTTGTATTTTGAAACAGAAATAAAGCTTTTCTAAATCCATAATAATATAATCATAATATTTTCCTTTGGACTATTCGCCAGTTTTGAAACAATTTTTCATTTTGTTAAATCAAACAATTTGAGCTTTGCCTTCGCGCTAGATCTGCCATACCGTACTTACATTTTTCCCTTCCTATTTGCTTTCTTCCCCCTCGTAGTGGCTCATCAATGTCGTGACAACAACGGCAATTGCAATCAAATCTGCATACCGCTATGGACGAAAAATTTCGCCACCGTCCAATGCCAATGCACTGCCGGCTATAAATTACACAACCGCACGGACTGCGTGCAGGTGCGCACTGATAAGTTTTTACTCTACAGCAAGGAGCGTTTGGCCAGCATCAGCGGTGTCTCGTTAAACGTGCAGGAGGTGCAAGAGTTAGTCACACGTGGTGAGCACACCGATGCCATGGTGCCGATATATAATATCAGCCGAGCTTTGAGCATCGACGTGAATGTGCAGGATAAATTGGTGTATTACGTTGTGATGAAGGCGTAAGATTTCAGCTGTCTTTTTTTCGCACTCAAGTACGTATTTAATAAATTTCCCATTTTCTTTGCCTACAGCTCGAGTTACGCGCTCTACAGTCAGTCCATTGTCAGCGGCGAGCGCACATTGTTGGCTAATGGCAGCGTAAGCTCATCGGTCTTGGCCTACGATTGGATCGCGCAGCATATGTACTGGGGCGAGGGAAACGCGCTGCGTGTGGCGTCCATAAAAAATATGAGCAACATTTTTACTCTGCCTATAGTTGAGATGCCGATGTGAGTATACATGGAGAGTTTACGTTAACGTTGTTTATTGTAATAAGCGCTTTTCAAAATTTCTCAATCCGTTTTGTCAGTTCCTTGGCGTTACATCCCACCGAAGGCAAGCTATATTTCACGCATTGGCTTGGCGATGCAAAAGGCAAGATCTACAGTGCTTGGCTTGATGGTACACACAAAACTGTGTTGGCTGAGACTGTAAAGGATATGCCCATGTCCTGGCCACTTAGTTTGAGTATCGATCGGAGAGGCAAAAAGTTGTACTGGTGTGATGTTAAGACGTACAGCATAGAACGTATGAACTTGGATGGCTCACAACGTGTTGTGCTCTTCAAGGATGCACAATATCATCCGTTGTCTATGGCGTTTCATAATGGCGTTGTCTATTGGGTGGACAAGCGGAATGGTACCATACAGCGATTTTCAGTGAACTCAAATACGTTCAGAACACCTCTGAAGGGCAGGTAAATGCTATGGAAAATATATTAAATATAAAAATGGATATGGATGATCACAGGATGAAATTTTAGAATTTCAATATTCTTTTTAATGATTGATTGACTTGCAAACAATAATAAGTACTGAATTCGCACAAATACAACTATAAATACAATTTCTTAGATCGATCGGTCGTTGTTCAAGTCTCCGGGCGATTCCTTTAGGGACACCCATGTAGTTTCGGAGCCTAAATAAAACAAATTGCCACCAAAGAGATTTGAACCTTGAATCTAATCCGATTTAGATGAATGTCATTATTGGGCAAATGTCCCGTGCGACAGCCTTAAAATTTGAATAAATAAAAAAGTATAAATGAACGTAATATTGAAAGTATAAATGAGCAACGTAAAATTTTCTTAACATTAACCTTTGCAAAGCTAATTAAGAATTAAAATAAATGGAATTAGGTAACCGTTTGATTTTAAATGCTCACGTCTGTTCCCGTTCGACATAACAGAAAAGTCCATATGTGCTTTTTTTTTAATAATTATCTATTTTACTTCAGCCAAACGAGCGTACATCTTTTGGCACGTGTTGGCACAAATCACCTCCGTGTCTTCGATGCCGCTACTCAGCCAATATCGGTCTCAATGAATTCATGTGCGAAATCAAAGTGCCCGGGTATTTGCTTAGACACGCCACAGGGTCCTGTCTGTCGTTGTCCGGATAATTTCACCCTGAACGCCAACGGTCTGCAATGTATACGACAAGTGATGTTGACTGAGCCATCGGGCAATTGTTCATTGGGATTTCAATGCATCAAATCAAAACAGTGTGTCGATACAAAAGACGTGTGTGATGGGTTCGATGACTGCAGTGATGGTAGCGATGAAAGCAATGAACCGAACGGACCCTGCAATATGAAGAAATGCGATTTGAGTTTACATTTCATCTGTAATGATCGTTGCTATCAGCGCTCCTTGCTCTGTAGTTCTATTGCCTACTGCAAGGATGGCACCGATCAGTTGAATTGTGAGACTCACACGTGTAATAGTAATGAGTTTACGTGCGCGAAAAGCGGCAAATGTATTCGACTATCGTGGGTTAACGACGGTGTGGCGGACTGTGGTGAGTTTCATAAAGAAATGTTTGAAAGCCTGCCTGCGAGGCTACGCATGAGGTCGAACTGCATATCAAACTGATTCATTCTGTGTCTTCAGGACCCGATGACTCGTCAGACGAGATGCTGGCTGCATTTGATATGGAAGAAAAATGCCCGGAATTTGACTGTAAAAATGGCAAGTGTCGACCATTTTCGGACGTTTGTGATGGAATAGACCAGTGCGGGTAAGTGTTAGCAGTACAGCTAACTCGAAGTCATTACGACTCCTATATCTTTTCAAAATTCTCCTTGCTTAAAATTCCAAACTCCTTTAACTCAACTTATCTCTCTGCGTTTGCTTGCAGCGACAATTCGGACGAACGCGGCTGCGAGTTCGAGTGCGGACGCGATGAGCATTACTGTGTGCCCATCGGCTGCTATGGCGAGCTACATATGTGTGACGGTATCCAAGATTGTGCTGATTTTAGCGATGAAGCAAATTGTAATGAGACGAAGAGCGACAATCATCCCATAGATTTGGGTGAGGTGCACGTTTGTGGCAGTAAAGAGTTTGGCTGCTTAGATCCGTTCGAGTGCATACCAGAGTATTTGCGTTGCGATGGTATACCTCACTGCTACGACAAGTCGGACGAACTCAATTGCACCAGCATAAACGCTTCGCGCGTGGATTTTAATGAGACGATATTTTCCTGTGAAGCGCCAGACCGCCTTTGCGCCGTGTCGAATAAATGCATCAGTGTTAAGCAACTCTGCGATGGCCACATCGATTGTGAAGACACCACCGATGAGGGATTTCTGTGTGGTGATAAAATGTGCGAAACGGCGAACGAATGCTCGCACTATTGCCACAATGCACCGGAGGGTTTCATCTGTTCATGTCCGCCCCACATGTACCTGCAGCCAAATGGTCGACGATGCAGCATGCAACATGCTTGTGAGCATTGGGATACCTGCTCGCAAATATGTGAAACTGTTGGCAAGGTGTACGAGTGTAAGTGTCACGAAGGCTATGAGCTCGAATATGATCGCTTCAGTTGTAAGAGCACCGCGGAGGATGAACCCTATGTCATATTTACGAATCGTCAGGAGATACGCGGCGTCAATTTGCGAAAGTCGGTGGTGAGCAATTTCTATACCTCGTTGCGTAATACGATCGCTTTAGACTTTCTCTACAACAACGAGTCGGTGCAGATATTTTGGACAGATGTAATCGATGATAAAATCTACCGCGGCTATTTGGTGGGTGAGAGTTTGCGAAAAGTGGAGGCTGTGGTGCATTCTGGTTTATCCACCACCGAGGGTTTGGCGGTGGATTGGATCGGCATGAATCTATATTGGGTCGATTCGAACCTTGATCAGATAGAGGTGGCAAAACTGAACGGCAGCTATCGACGTACACTGGTTGCCGGTGCAATGGAGAGTCCACGCGCAATAGCGCTCGATCCACGTGAGGGCTTACTCTTCTGGACCGATTGGGATGATAATTTTCCACGGATTGAGCGTTGCTCGATGGCAGGCGAATATCGTCGCACTATCTCCACCACTTCACAGGTGTCAGCTGGTTGGCCAAACGGTCTGACTTTGGACTACACACAGAAGCGGGTTTATTGGGTGGACGCCAAGTCTGATTCCATTTCAACAATTAAATACGACGGATCCGATCATCATCTGGTGGTGCGTGATAAGGATATACTATCGCATCCGTTCGCCATATCTGTCTTCGAGAATTATGTATATTGGACCGATTGGCGCACCACGTCTGTGATACGTGCCAATAAGTGGAACGGTTCCAATATTCAGGTTATCCAACGTACGCAGACCCAGCCGTTTGGCATACAAGTGTTGCATTCCAGTCGACAGCCACAGGGGCAGAATCCGTGTGGCAATAATAATGGGGGCTGCTCACATTTGTGTTTGCTGACGTAAGTAAAGCTTAGTTCGACATTGACTCGGATTTGGCCTAAAAATTTTGACTTCTTTTTAGCGTGAAAAAAGGTTACAAATGCGAGTGTCCGCACATAATGCGCTTGGATCCCACAGATCACCGCACTTGCGTGCCCAACGAACAGGTGCTGCTCTTCATTATGGGCGATGAGATACGCGGCATTGACTTGATGCAACCCAACCATCATACGATACCCACCATAAGACAATCACCTCAGGCAAGTTATACCAAAATAATTGATTTATTTGTTCTTTTCTCCCCCTGCTTCTCTGCCGGTGTTTTATTAACTGTTCGAATTTTTTCAGGTGCTAGCGCCCCAGCGTATTGACTTTACCGTAGACGATAGCCGCATTTATTGGTCCGATGTACAGTTAAATGAAATCAAGACCGCGGGTATTTCGAACGGACTTATCGATACCATTATCAATACGGATATCCAGAAACCCTATGGGTTCGCTATTGACTGGATAGCGCGGCACATGTACTTTTCCACGGGAAAAACGAAATGTCAAATATTGGCGAGCAATTTGAAGGGCGAATATGTCACGGAGATACATAGAGACCTCAATTTGGTGGAGAGTATAGCCTTGGATCCTGCGAAGTAAGTCAGCAGTCACATCCAACGAACATTGAGTGTACATATAAGTTTTTTTAAATTTACAGCGGTAAAATGTATTGGATACACTCGGAGCGTGACTCGGAACTGTGGCTCATTGAGCAGAGTAATTTAGACGGTTCATCGCGTAGTGTCATTGTACAGCATAACAAGACACTGCTCAGTCTGACAACGGACTTCGATTCTCAGCGTCTGTATTATGTTTACGATAACTCAGGCATTGCCTACTACGACATCGCGCGAAAGATCGTTGTTGAAGCTCTGCAATCAAGTGAGATTATGACCATCAGTTCGGTAACAGTCTACAATGGATCTATATATTTTCCGGAGAATATACAAAGTGCTATCATGAGTTGCGGCAAAGACTCGTGCTATAACATGACGAGTGTGCGCACCAATACAAGTGAGTGTTATTGTGCTTCATTTTCTGGAGCTCAACATGCTAATTGTCATTTGGTATTTTGTGCTCTAGAGATTCGGAAGCTTTACATATCCTATATCTGCCTCAGTCCATCCACTTCATACGTTCTGATTTTTGATTCAGTTTTGGGCATCCACATTTATCTTTTCCTTATTTTTTCAGAAAGCATTCAATCGCTGAAGATGTTCTATTCGGAAGCACAGACCGGCACGAACAATTGTGCGGGACCACGTCGTGGGGGCTGTGAACACCTCTGCTTGGCTACATCAGCCACTGAACATGTCTGTCGATGTGCTATTGGATACGATGTGGTTAAAACAAATGCTTCACGTTGCGTGGGGAAATCTGAATTCGTCTTCTATTCCAATCACGAGCTTAAAGGCATTGAGCTTTACGATCCTAATAGACCGGAATCACAGTTCGAAGAGAAACCGGTGAGTCAAAAACGAAAGACGCACAAGTTTCAGAGATATGCCAGAACTAAACTTATTTCTTCTTTCAGGCGCTTGGTCCGATTTCACGCATCTCACTCGCCACGTATATTGACTACGACACCAAAGAGGACTTTCTGTATTGGGGCGATAGTGAACGTGGCACAATTTCGCGCATCAAACGCGATGGCACACTGCGCTTTGATATACTCCCAGCCGTTGACACTACAGACCCCAAGCAGCAAGATTGGTTGGGTGGCATCGCTGTGGACTGGGTTGCCGGAAACATTTATTGGAGCGATATGAAGCGTAATCTCATCGAAGTAGCTCGGCTAGATGGCACTCACCGACACGTTGTTGTCTCCAATGTAGAAGCACCAACGGCACTGGCCATAGACCCTGTGCAGGGCTTACTTTTTTATGTGGGTAGTGGCGTGATTGGCCGCACAGGCTTAGATGGAAGCCAATCATTCATACTCGTGAATCAAACGGGCACGGTGAGCAACCTCATATTGGACATTGATGCTACCAAGGTGTATTGGTGTGACAGTGGTTCGAATATTATCATGAAGGTGGATTATGATGGCAATCTGAAGACGCCACTACTCAATAATTCACTCGACAATCCGGTGGCACTGGCCAAACTCGACGACTATCTATACTGGGCGGACAACAACAACAACAAGGGTAGTATAAAGGTGGCACCGATTACAAATTTATCAGATTTCAAGGAGATACTTCAATCAGAAGGTAATGCTCTCAAAGACCTGAAAGTCTTCTCACGACGTGTGCAAAGGGGTACCAATATGTGCGCGGAAAATAATGGCGGCTGCGAGCATTTATGTCTGTTCAACGGCACCAGCGCCATATGCGCCTGCTCACATAGCCGCGTAGCCTCCGATGGCAGCTCCTGTGAGCCATACGATAGTTTTTTACTCTTCTCATACCGCAGCACCATTGAAAGCATACATATGACAGACCACACAAACAAGAACGGCCCCATTCACGCCATACACAACACGACTTATATGCGGAATGTCATTGCTTTGAGCTATGATTATGAGAACAGCGTTATATTTTATTCGGATGTGCAGATGAGCACTATCAACTCGGTGCAGTTCAATGGCAGTCGAAACCAGGTGCTGGTGAGCCATCAAGGTCGCGTTGAGGGTCTCACTTATGACATCGTGAATAAAATGCTCTTCTGGACTTCGAATAATGATGCATCCATCCGAAGCTTGGAGCTGCTGCACGTTAGCGAGAACGCAGACAATAATACCCAGTATGTGAAGCGATTGCTGATGCTGAACTCCAATGATAAGCCACGGGGCATTGCGGTGGAGCCTTGTATGGGTATGATTTACTGGACGAATTGGAATGAGGAGACTCCATCCATACAACGCGCATATGTTACTGGCTATGGTGTCGAGTCCATTATACGAACCGACGTTAAGATGCCAAACGCGCTTACATTGGATTTCGATGAACATAAATTGTATTGGGCGGACGCACGTCTTGACAAAATCGAACGCGCCAACTATGATGGCTCCCATCGCACTGTATTAGCGCATTCCACGCCAAAGCATGCCTTCTCGATGGCTGTTTATGGCGATTTACTCTTCTGGACAGACTGGGTGTTGCACGCTGTGGTGCGCGCCAGCAAATATTCCGGCGCAGATGTGGTATTTCTGCGAGAGAATATCGATCGGCCCATGGGCATTATCGCTGTGCAAAATACCACCATAAATTGTGACTCGAACCAATGCAAGATATTGAACGGCGGCTGCGAGGACGTGTGCATATTGAGTAAGAACGGCACAGCAAGCTGTCAGTGCTCGAGGGGTACATTGGCGCCGGACGGACGACGCTGTTTGTTATTGCCCAACAAGAACTGTGATAAAGATCAATTCTCTTGCATATCCGGTGAGTGCATACCCCTGGAGTTGACCTGTGATAACATAACACACTGTTTGGATGGATCCGATGAGCGCCGCAGCTATTGTATACTGCGCGAGTGCCCAGCACGCTTTTTCATGTGCAATAATCATCGGTGCATACCACAGAACCAGACTTGCGACGGGGTACATCAATGCGGCGATGGCTCCGATGAGTCTGAGTTGGTTTGCAAATGTGAGCCCGACAAGTTCCGCTGTAATAGCGGCGAGTGCATTTCTATGCAGTTTGTCTGCGATAATGTGCGCGACTGCAAGGATTTTAGCGATGAGAAACATTGTCCGCCACGTGAATGCCCTAGAGGCGATGTGCTATTCGAACACTGCGTCAACTCTTCGTCCTGCTTCATGCCGTCTTGGCGTTGTGACGGCGATAATGACTGTCCGGACGGCAGTGATGAGTTGAATTGTGAGAACGTACATAAGGTGCCTTGTGGACCGGGGCAGTTTCAATGTCCGAATGGGCGTTGCATCAATGAAAAATGGCGTTGTGATGGCGAAAATGATTGTAAAGATGTGGTAAATGGTTTGAGTGCTGACGAGGTAGGCTGCAAGACGCAGTGTCGGAAGAGCGAGTTTCATTGCGGCAATACTTGCATACCCAGCAGTTGGCAGTGCGATGGCAAACCGGACTGTGATGATGGCTCGGACGAGGGTGCCCAGTGCCCGAACCGTATATGTCGGCCGCACTTCTTCCAATGTAAGTCATCGGGACGTTGCATACCACAGAAATGGGTTTGTGATGGTGAGCATGACTGCCCCGCACCAGGCAGCGAAGACGAAGGAAAACATTGCGCTGCGGGTTCGGTGCAACATGAGCTCGAGTGCTTACCGCCGTCTTTTCTCTGTTCGAATGGCATGTGTTTGGATCGGCGCTACGTTTGTGATGGAGATCATGATTGTCCTGATGGCGAAGACGAGTATGAAAGTTGTGAGCCATTCGCGCAAGCTCAAGTTTGCGACAGCGCGACGGAATTCCAATGTCACGATTTACAATGTATTGCTAAGAATCTTACATGTGACACCAAGCCTGACTGTGTTGATGGTTCTGACGAAGACGCGCAGCTCTGTGTGCACTCACATAACTTATGTCAGGGACCGGATGACTTTCGTTGTGGCAATGGTGCCTGCATTTCGACAGATTTGCTTTGCGATGGACGCAATGATTGTGTAGATTTCACCGATGAGGAGCTCTGCAATGTGGACGAATGTGTTATACCCGACTTGTGCGAGCACAAATGTGTGGATAAGGTTATTGGTTTCGAGTGTCAGTGCAATCCTGGCTATAAGCTGCTCGCCTCCAATCAACATTTATGTGACGACATCGACGAGTGCCATGAACAACATCCTTGTTCGCAGATTTGCGTCAACACTTATGGCTCCTACAAGTGTCTCTGTGGTAAGGGTTATGAACTAGTTGACCACAACACCTGTAAAGCCACAACCAATGAGACCGTAAAGTTCATTTTCGCCAACCGCTACTACATTCGCCAAGTGGATATGCGCGGTAACGGCTCCATACTCATCCATCAGCTGTCTAACGTAGTAGCTTTGGATTTCGATTGGGAAACGAAATGTCTTTACTGGTCAGATGTAACATCGGCGGTGGGGATGATTAAGCGCTATTGTCCTGCTGAAAACAAAACGTCCACTTTGCATCAAGCAATGATCAAGAATCCCGACGGTTTGGCAGTAGATTGGGTGGGGAAGAACTTGTACTGGTGCGACAAAGGCTTGGACACAATTGAAGTCTCAAAATTAGATGGCAAATACCGACGTGTGCTAATCAATGAAAATTTACGTGAGCCACGCGGCGTCGCGCTGGATCCCTTCAACCGTCATATATTCTGGTCGGATTGGGGTGATAATCCGCATATAGGTAAGGCTGGCATGGATGGTTCCAATCCGCGTATGATAATAAGAGATAACTTGGGTTGGCCAAATGCGCTGACAATTTCCTTTGAGACGAATGAACTATTTTGGGGCGACGCGCGCGAAGACACGATCTCGGTATCTGATTTGGATGGAAAGAATATACGTCTACTGCTGGCACGCAGTATTAACCCGCAGTTGAATTTGCATCACATATTCGCTATCGCAGTGTGGGAGGACAAGGTGTACTGGTCTGACTGGGAGACTAAGTCCATTGAGTATTGCAATAAGTATAACGGTCAAAATTGCTCAACATTGGTCACCATCATTCATCGGCCAATGGATCTGAGGATCTACCATCCATACAGACAGCAGCAGCCCTCAACACCCAATCCCTGCTTGACCGCCGGTTGCTCGACGCTTTGTCTGCTCTCGCCGGAAGCGCCATACTACAAATGCGTTTGTCCGAATAACTTCGTGTTAGGAGAGGATGGCAAATCCTGCCATGCAAACTGCACGGCGGCCCACTTCGAATGCGCCAACACCTACAAATGTATACCCTTTTATTGGAAATGCGACACGCAAGATGACTGTGGGGACGGGAGCGATGAACCCGCCTCATGCCCACCGTTTCATTGCGAACCAGGACAATATCAATGTGATAACAAGAAATGCATCTTTCCCTCGGCTATCTGCGACAACGCCAATAACTGTGGCGACAATTCGGATGAGCGAAACTGTGAGAAATTTACTTGCTTCGAAAATTATATGAAATGCGAAGCTTCGACCAACACGAGCGCCTTCTGCATAAGTAACAATAAGAAATGCGATGGTGTGAACGACTGTCCGAACGGCGAGGACGAAGCTGGCTGCACCCCTCTCGTCTGCAATAAGGAGCAATTCCAATGTGGCAACAATCGTTGTGTACCTTACGTGTGGGTGTGCGACGGCGATGCCGACTGTGCAGATAAATCGGACGAAGAGCGTTGTGATTTGGTCACATGTGAGCCGAGCGATTTCCAGTAAGTACATTTCGTAAAAGATATTCAAAAAATTACAGCTCGATTTTATATTTTATTTTATTTTCTTCAGATGCAACTCTGGCCGTTGCATTCCGATGGCATGGCGGTGTGATGGTGAGAACGATTGTCCGAATGGTGAAGACGAGCCACCCACTTGCCACTCATCGAAGGAGAGCTGCGACCCCACCTACTTTAAGTGCAACAACTCGAAATGCATACCTGGGCGATGGCGTTGTGACTATGAGAACGACTGTGGCGATGGCAGCGATGAGTTGAACTGTCAGATGCGCAACTGTTCTGAGAGCGAGTTCCGTTGCGGCACCGGCAAGTGCATAAAACACGACTACCGCTGTGATGGCGAAATACATTGCGACGATAGCAGCGATGAGATCAATTGCAATATCACGTGCAAGGCTAACCAATTCAAGTGTGCGGCTTTCAATACATGTATAAATAAGTAGGTGTCACTGGCGTATGGCTCAGTTTTAGTTTCAGTATTTTTTAATGAAGCAATTCCTGACTCTTACTACTCAACCCTCAGGCAATATCAATGCGATGGCGATGACGATTGTCCCGACGGTTCGGACGAGGTAAATTGCACATGTCCGGCCAACTATTTCACTTGTGCTAATGGTAAATGCATAATGTCACGTTGGAAGTGCGACGGCTGGGATGACTGTACGGATGGCAGTGATGAAAGCATCGACACATGCGCCCATGAACACTGCCATGCCAATGCCTTTAAGTGAGTAGCCCAGGCGTTGGTTAAAAGTGGTGAATTTTCACTTACGTAGCGCTTCTGTGCATTTCCAGGTGCTCCAATTTGAAGTGTATACGCAAGTCAGCACTATGTGACGGTGTAAACGACTGCGAGAATTCTGAGGATGAGTCAGATGAGGTTTGTGCGGCGCTTCCGAAGTGTCGACACGATCAGTTCCAGTGCGAGAACGATGATTGCATATCGAAAGCTTTCCGTTGTGATGGTCAATACAACTGCATAGACGGATCGGATGAGATGAACTGTCAGCCCCCAGTGTGCGGTTTTGGCACTTGTTCGCAGATTTGTATTGAAAAGAAAGCTGGTCATTATAACTGCAAGTGCACGGAGGGTTATCAGAAGGGGTCAAAGAAGAACGACACCTGTTTGGCGTCAGGTAATAATGCTTTATATTTGTTAAAATATTGATTTAGGAGTAAACTTTAAGGATAATTGAAGTCGTGTTTTCTTCCCGAAATTTGGTTTTTTTTTTGGCAATTCTATCTCTCATTTACTTCTATTTGTAGGACCCGATCAAATACTGCTACTCGCCTCCGAACAAGAGTTCCGTTTCATTTTGCCTGCCAAGCAAGAAGGTACTACTGTAGTAGGTTTCTTCCAAACGGATAGCCTGAAAATAGATGTATTCGACATACTTATCCGCTCGAAAGACACACTCCTCTTTTGGATTGATTCGCACCACGGTAAAGTGCATACAATGAAAATCGCCACACCCCATGTTGAATCAGGTACACGCGTACGCAGAGATCTTAAGGAGCTGACTGCATTTAATGTAAGTACCTCAACTAATTATGAGGAAAACAAAAAATCACTGGGTCTTTATAAATATAGATACCCGACCTAAACGATCCCAAATCACTCGCTGTAGACTGGATTACTCAAATGGTTTACATAATCGATTCGCGACACAACCAGATTATTGCTACCGACATTGATGGCAAGAAGTACGTTTCTCTGGCATCGACTGGCATGAATCCCACCGATATTGTGTTGGAGCCAGAATCGCGTATCATGATTTGGTCCACATTGGAAAATGGAATTTTGGTAGCATCACTAGATGGCACGAATAAGAAGAGTTTAGTCGAGCGTGATGTGGGTTGGCCCATTAGCTTGTCGATCGATTATCCTACAGGTCGCTTATATTGGGCCGATTACCGTAAGGGCACAATTGAAACATGCAGATTGAATGGCAAGGATCGCAATGTAGTGCGACGTTTTTCGAACAAAGGTAAGATATGTTCTTTGATTCGCTGTATAGGTTTTTTCATGCAATGTTTGCTTATAGAAAAACCACAAAAGATTGACGTGTTTGAGGATTTCCTCTACATAAAGTTATACGATCAGAGCATTATTAAAATGAATAAATTCGGAGTGGATAATGGGACTTATCTGCTGAAAGGCTATCGTTCATCCGACATTGGCATCTTGCACCCACTGAAGCAGAACCGGAATAGTGAGTATATTTACTCATTTCGTTCAGACAGCATACTGACCTTTCCTGCATTTCAAATTTCAGTTACAAATCCTTGTGCAAAGGAGCCTTGCAAATCGAGACGTGCACTTTGTATTCTCTCCTCCGAGGCTCGCAACGGCTTCGCCTGCAAATGTCCCAATGATCTTATTATGATTGATAATGAGTGTAAAGCACATAGCGAAGTGCCCGACTATTGTCCTTTGAAGTGCAACCTCGGCACCTGCAAAGTGATCGATCACGTGCCAAAATGCATATGTCAGCCGCAGTTTGAGGGAGAGCTGTGTGAGCATTCACGTTGTTCGGGTTATTGCTTGAACTATGGTCTTTGTACGGTAGCATCGCAATTACCTGGTTCATTGGAGCCACCCCCACTGAAATGTACCTGCACTCCTGGCTGGTCGGGACCGCGTTGTGAGACATCTGTGCCGGAATGTCAGAGTCGCTGCCATAACGGTGGTTCCTGTCTCATCAATGAGGAAGGCATGAAGTGCACCTGTCCGGACTTTTATGTAGGCGCACAGTGTGAGCATTGCGTGAATTTGACATGTGCCAATGGCGGCATCTGTCGAGAGACTTTGACCGGCACTACACAGTGCGAGTGTCCGGATGGGTAAGTGAGCGCGGGCTGGGTACATATGTATGTAGAATTTTTTTAATTTGAATTTTTTTTTGCATTACTTCCAAACACTAGTTTCACAGGTAAACGTTGTGAGGTGAACGTCTGCGATGGCTTCTGTAAGAATCAGGGTGTTTGCAGTATCGGCACAAAAGGTGGTCCGCAATGCCAGTGCCCGGTAGGATACTATGGCGAACAATGCGAATCTGACTCCTGTCAAACCTACTGTTTGAATGGCGGCCTATGCAGCGAGCGCGAACAGCGCTTGATATGCAGCTGCAGCGAACGCTTTGAAGGGGAACGTTGCGAAACTGACCTGTGCAAAACAGCAACACCACCCCACTGTGAGTTGTAGCTTATTCGCTTACGCTTTATTTTGATTATTTTTGAAAACTAATTAAAATATGTATACAAATATTCTTACTCTTGACAGTTTGTGATGAATCCGAGCTGCCATCACGCAATCCTTGCACGGGTATCATCTGCCAGAATAGTGGTACGTGCCATGTTATCAAAGGCATCGCCATGTGCAACTGCACCGATCGCTGGAATGGCGAGTTTTGTGAGGTAAGTGTGAATGCCACAACAGCTTTCCAAACCCAAATTGCATTGTTTATCTTATTGCAGCGTCTCGTGTCTGAGGACAATCCATGTGTTGGCTATTGTAGGAACAGCGGTGTTTGTCATTTGGACGCGTATTCGGTACCGCATTGCAGTTGCATCGGCGAATGGGAGGGCGATTCCTGTAATTTGCCGCCGAAATGTGTCAGCGGTTGCGGTGTTTGCCGCACCGGCAGTTCGATTAATGAATGCCTGTAAGTGCTAGGCGCAGTCTATGTACAAGATGGTTTAGTATACTGTTATTCGCGCATAACTCATTTCTTTTCCAGGTGCTCCAACGGAAAAATAACGCCCTGTTTGGCTGAAAGTACGGATAATGTGAATGTGGAGCGGCAGGAAGGGGAGGAACATTCTGCGAATGTCCTTTCAATATTAGCAGTTGTACTTTCGGTCATTGTTTTGCTGCTTACGCTTTTCGGTGGCGCAATATATTTCCTAAAGTAAGTGTAAATAATATTGATAGTGAAATCTCGACGGCAACTCGTTAACAAAAACAGCGCAGCAAAATCATCAAGATATTTTTATTTAATTTCTTTATCTTTCTATATATCTCTTTCAGGAAACATCGCATATCCCAACCATTTTCACATGCACGTCTCACCGATAACGTGGAAATAATGCTTACGAATCCAATGTATCGAGGCGATGCCGATGAAGCGCCTGCCTTTGTACACGAAGATGATAAGGTAATTCAAACGTTACTATGTCTACTACTTTTCCCTTTCTTTATAGATGATCTCACGTACCCATACTCTTTTCAGGGTAATTTCGCGAATCCCGTTTATGAGTCCATGTATGCCGACGCCATTGTCGAACCGGCGGCGGTGGTGGAGAACGTTCTAAGTACGGCGCCCGATGAGCGAAAAGGTCTCCTACAGCACTCACACGACGACACAAGCACACCAGATATTCTTTGATGATTAACTACGAATGAAGTGTGTTAAATAGAGCGTTGTTTGTACTCCAATTTGTAGGTTAGAGAGAGAAAATAAGAATACAAGAAAATAGGTGAAAATATGATAACACTAAATGTAAACGCCAACAACTTTTACAAGCACATATATATACGAACACACACACACACACACACACACTGATATTTATACACACACCCACACATACATGTAAAGGACTGATAGCGTAACGAATTTTAACTTTCGCATAACTTTCGAGATGCGAAAAATGATTGCCATTGACACAATTAACACAATTTAGATTTCGTAATTGGTTTAATAGAGAGATGCAGTTTAATATTAAAACTTCAATAATTAAAAAGTAGGATAAAATTAATAGATTTATTTGTACAATCATATGCGAATTGAAGTAATGTAAATATTATATTATATCTATATATATATATATATATATACATTTATAAGAAAAAACGCAAAAACACTGAAATGAAATCGAATACATTTTGCTGGTGTTCTGTGAGCTTATCAATGAAGCATATCAACGCCAGATATTTATATGTATGTATGTACATGTAGTTAGCAATTAAGTCAGTCACACTCATTGCATTTGTATTTGTGGCTGTTCAGTATAATGACGAGTATCCATATAAAAAAAACTCCAAATAACGAAAGTGGTTGATAGGGAGAGGCGAAAGGCCTGCATGTCCTAAGATCATAATCATATACGTGCGTTCTAATGTAACTTGTGGCTGCAGGCGTTATCTCATTCGTTATACTGAACGTTCACTGTATTTTACATACATGCATACACATTTTACATAGTTTACTAATTCGATGCAATTGCAATATAGTCTAAAGAAATTACGAGGTAGCTAAACAAAGAAAACATAAATTATTTAAAATATTTTTTTTTTCTGCCTTACATTTTTAATTTGTTGGTTTTTATTTCATAAAAATGAACAGCCCCGGCAGGTAGACTATTGAATACATGCTGATTTTGTTTTAATAATTTAGGGGCCTTACAAACTGAAAATCTTTTGGTAACTTTATGTAAAAATATCATTTCTCGAAAATCAGTTAATACACTTCATAATATTTATGACACTTAAACCAAATCAAGGCAAATTTACGCACGGTAGTAGCAAGAATACAAAAACAAAAAGCCTGTGTATTGTTTGCGTAATCATAGTTTCGAAACGGCAAAAACGTGTTATAGAAAGTTCGTAATCTCAAAACCTCTTTCTCATGTACATATTTAGTTTGTGTAATTTTTTTAAATAGAGAGAATCAAATGATGTGACAACTTCACCTTCTATAAATTTGCCTTGAATCAAGTTTGTGTTAATAATTTAAATATTTAGAAATACTCTTCTTCTTCTTTTTAGAACTTGACTTGTTTGCTTACTTTTTTTTAATGAAACCTGAGAAACAAGTTAAATGAAATATTAGTTAAAGATCCACATACACTTTCCATAACGATTTTAGAGCCATAATGTAGAAAATGTGCGATTTTATAAGAGATATGCGCTTTTAGGAACAAATAAATTCCGTTATTTAAAAAGCTTTAGCTGTAACGGAAAACGTTTTACCTTTTATGAAAGTTATTGTTTTTTTTTTACTCGAGTGTTATTAATATTTTTTTTTTTGCTCAAATCTTTATTGTTGCTCTCGAAAAATCGTCAGTCGGAGAAAATTCTAGTTACCATTCTTCGACCAATGTAAAGAAGTATGTAAAATAAAAACAAAGTAGTGTTTATAAAGAATTCTATATTTTTCATGAAGCGAACGTTACTAAGCCTAGTCTTTTATATAAAAAAAAACCGTTCTTTATTTAAGGCAGCTCGCAAAATTTGTATAATAATTTGATGCATTTATTCTATAAATTGAAATTCCCTTCTTATGTATGTATATAATATTTGGCAGAGGATGTTCCAAATACACAAAAAATAGTTTCTTGTAAATAACTGTGTTTAAGTTTGATTTTTGTATGCAAAACAAAATGACTGGTGACTTCAGTTTAGTAGATTAGAAACGATAACGAATATGTTTGAAGACTTTAAGTAGATATTAATATAGATATAATATATACATAATTATACATATATAAATCCATATTTATAATATATACATATATTATATAATAAATGACGAACAAAAGCTTGCATTTAAATGAAATTGTGAGATTCTTCAAAAAATAGCTTTAAGTTAAAACTAATAAATAAATAAATGTATGTATAACACCAGTAAGAGTATATATATATACATATTAACTTGATATTTGAACAAAGCAATTCTAACATGTCATATGCATATACATATACTCGTACATATGTATGAGCGCTAGCATCCAACTCATGTAAATTAAGCGAAACAACCGCATATTTTGTATGCACATACATATGAACATAAAACAGTATGTCTGCACGAACATCAATTTGTATTTCAACTGAAACCGAGAATAAATTTTTTTCAGTTTTTCCAAAAAAATAATATTTTAAAAAGTCTTCAACTTTATTCTAAAATTTCTCTCCTCATTAAAGTAATGAAATGTAGAACGGCGCTAACTGAGAAGGAAAGAATCGAAATTTTTAGTTCGAAACATGAAAATTTTTGAGCTCTTTTTGCATCTGCTGCATCAGCAACTTCCTCAAAGTGGTATATCATTATGGAATTTTTACGAAACTACACATATAGTAAAATATGATTTAAAAAAAAAAAACACCGTAAGAACACAAAAACAAAATGAATTTTTGAAAAATGTCTTAGTTATTTAATTTTACTGCATGCCAACAGCTATATACAAACATATGTAAATATAACAGTAACATCATTAGTTTCCTGTCACAATTTCTAGCAGTTTTGAATTACTGCTCTCTGTCGACCGTGTTACTTCAGTAGCAGCGCCTGTATTAGCTGATATGGGAAAGTGGGGAATGACCTTGGCCACATCCTTAGGACGGCAGCAAAACGTGTATCCGAGTGTAGGTATTTGACGTAAATAGCCGAAGTTGCTATTTTTCAACCACTCAACTTCATCACAAACATCCACCTCACAGAATTCGCTTGATCCCGGATTGGCTACCTTTAAAGTAGAGAAAAACAAAAAGTTCGATATTTGTGACTTCTGAAAAATTCAATATCCTAATGTAAGTCTTACATAAGGTGAATTGTGTGCAATAACAACGATATCTTCTTTCCGTTCGCTTGGTCTTAGAGACTTCAAATATATCCAGATATAAGCCGGTGCCGTGACTTGGCTCTGATCCGAACGCACTGTTATGAAATCGCTTTTTAGCAAACTACAATTTCTCTGCTTGGAAGGCATCATCGCAATGCCATGGGTGCCCATATAAACGAGATACTTCGTGACGCGGGTACGTTCGTTGAGTGCTTCGAGGAAGTGACGCCAGTTTTGCTGACGTAGTTGGCGCCACCACAACGTGTTGAAGAGATACGCGTAACTATTGAGTTTAGTTTGCTGCGATTCATCTTGCAACAAACTGTCTAAATCAAAATCGAAAATATCGAAGAGATTTCGGGATCTAAGCAACTCATTGCGTGTCGCGTTAAATTTTTGTACACTAAAATTAGAATAAAGAATATGTATGTAGAGAGAAATTGTAATTCAGCTGCAATCATCAGTATGCTAATAAATATGCATTTAAATGTAGCAAAATCATTACTTTGAGAGAGATTTAATTAATGTTTGGCTCTATCTCAACTCCGACCTTCTTTATCTATCTCGAAGCTAAAGTAGCTGCTGAAAGAATTCATTTCGTGGCTTCAACTAACTTTTTACACATATTTACCTCATAAAGGGGAAATAGTCTGTCAAACCGCCAACCTTTTGATTCAAATCCAGCGATAACTCGTTGGCCTTCTTCTTCTATATATATATATATATATATATATATATAAGTTATTTCGAAAGAGTCAAATGAAAATTCAAATCTATAAATAAAATTAATCAACTTACTTCATCGATCACAATGCGATCAGTAACTGGTTCTGTTATGAAATGAATATATTTCAGTGTGAAATTGTCAAGATCAAAGCAGACCCCGGCTTTTACTTCGCTCTTCTCTCCATCGATTGGTACTCCTATGGCGTAGCTCATGTACTTTTCACAATTGGGCAAAGTCTTTTTACTTTCATAAAGATCGTATGTCCCCTGAGAGGCGCAGAAAATTATGATTTCGCGATTGTTGGATATATGCACGCCTCCTATTTTTAAGACATTGTTCGCATCACAAATAAAGTCGGCGGTATTTTTAGCCAAAAAAATGGGTTCGTTGCTGAAATATATAGTAAGCGAAACTTAAGGCGATTCCTATTCAATTTTTAATTTCAATTATTTGATTACCCATCATATTTTTTTTCGTACACCAATCCGCCGCTACAATATGCCGTTATAGATTCCCCAGCCAAAACATTGATCGAAGACGTTTGCGGTTCGAAAACTACTTTTCTCGAACCTAACTGTTTGGTAAACAAAGGCAATGGATGCTTGAGCGATAATTCACAACTACATGCAAATTCACTTCTCGCAAGGATCACCAAAAAATACACAAAAGAGATTTTCAACATTTTACACTTCAGCGTTGAAGGGAAAATTTATGACTGATGAGAGTTATTGTGGTCGTCGATCATTTTATGTATTACTGCCAAGCAATATGCGTGTATGTATGTGTGTGTGTATGTATTTATAGCAGGTCTATATGCAATAACAACAACATACGTATGAATGTATGTATGTATATATTTATGTTCATATAGAAGGTGTATCCCCCAGTTAGCATTTTATCATTATTTTGTCCTTGCTTTCGGAAGGCCAGGGTTCGAGTCCTAGCTTGACCAATATCAAAAATTATAAAAAATGAATTTTTCTAATTGCGGTCGTCCCTCGGCATGAATATCGAAGCTCCTCATAAAAAATCCATTAGCCGTTCGAAGCCGACCTACAATAAACTGTATGGTCCTCTATTTCTTAGTAAAATATCAAAAACGCCCATCCTAAAGCGCCTTATACATACATATTTATATATAAATTAGCATATTTAATTGTCATAATTGCCGAATGACTCTGCGATTGCCAATATGCCGCTTGCAGACTTGCCTACAATGTCACTCTCTGGGAAGGCAGAGCTACAGTATTAAGTGTTTTTTTCGTATTTATTTCATTAGGAAATAAGAAAAACTGCTCCTTTGACCCTTCAAAAAAGGAAAAGCAATTTTACAAGCATAAATCATTCAAATTCCTCTCCGCCAGGGAAATGATTGTGTTGAATGTGATATTGGATCGAATTCGAGACGACCACGACAAAAAATATCGACCCACCAATGTTTCGAAAGTTAAATAAAATCTGTAAAACCGTTCGAAAATTAGTATTAACAGATGCCCTAACAGAAGATCGTCGATCTTTTCGATAGTGCTATCGGAGAGAACGTGTTCGACTCGAAACGTATTCGTTGTGCTCACTGGGCGATAGCCTGGAGGAGATGGTCTTTAATTTTGTTTATGAAAACTTTTTTTTTCTTTTTTTTATAATTTTTTGCATTGCAAGCTAAATTACAGTATTACGTACCCACATACACATATGTACTAATGTATGTTTAATTATATTTTTGTAGGCATGCTTATCGAAGTTAATCAGTTTGCTTTCTTGCATTATTGTGCAAGTCTAGTCAAGATCAATAAATTTAAATCGTGTCAAATTTCAATTTATTTATTTTAATAAATGAAATGAATTTCAGCGTCAGTCTCCAATAACTTTGCATTTCATTTATCAAATATTTATATGCGCATACACATCACACATATGTATGTATAAATGTTTATAAAAAATTGCTGTGTGAGAGGACAACTGAAATTCTTATCACATTTTCTTACATTACCAATACAATACAAAGCGGATTATTTTCCAATTTGTATAGAGGATATCTGCACCCCCTTTGTATAACTTTTACTGATCACAACGAACGGAAAGAGAAAATACAATACCATGTTCGGACTGACGACTAATTGTCCATTGACCCATGCAGTTTTGAAAAGTAAAGTTTACGAGATGTCTCTTAATAGATGATTATTGGCATAAAATATTCAGATCCCTACTGTCACACAGTGCCTCCTTCACAAATTCCTTTTTTTGTAGTGCTCTCCTAGTACCAGTATTTACAAAGAAAATGTCTATTAAAAAAGTAGTTTAAATGACTTCATTCAATCAATTAAAAAAATGAAAAAGATCACTAACTCTTCATTTGATGTCGGTAAAGCTTTCCTAGTTTGCGTCAATAGGCCTTACATTAGCGATACACACGTTTTTCTGTTTGGAGGCACTAAATGATCCGGAGCAAGTATCTAATAAATATGATGCTAAACCATTACTATATACACATCGGTGACTTGATGGGCAGTAACTAGTAACAATTCTTACTGAGGCAAAAACTCAATAAAAATAGTCACACTGGAGCGCAATTTAGACGGTTCGTGTGGAGAGAAAGTCGCAAAATCGTGATGGGAAAATTTCATACAGTAAAAACTAGCAAGTATGAAAAACAGCTGATTTGTAATTATATGATGGAATATTTGTCAAAAAACAAAAGATCATTTAAAATGTAAATAATATTAATAATTTAACACATTTAATGTGAATGAAATGATAAAATTTGGATTCCTTAAATTTGCTAAAAAGCAGTGTCGACCAAATGAGCTGTGAAACATTGCGACGCAATATGGTTGCTGCCGTCTCAATGACGATACTGAATTCTTAAGCTTCCGGAAGCGACGACGATGCATAAAATGAAATATTAGTGGCTTTTAGAAGGAAAAATGAAGCTCTTACTTGGATATTCTTTATACGGAATCGAGGAACTCTATAGTAATGTTCAGTTAATATTGCTTACACAGAAAAAATTCCAAACTCATTTTCGTATTTCAATCATCCACCTTGATTATCTAAGTGACGAATTTTTGCAAATCAAGTTTCACATAAATCTTTGTCTTTTTGGAGGACTATGAGAGAAATTATATGGTATCTTTATCGTTTTTCGGCTATAAAGAATGTAGAATTTCATTATTGTAATAATTAAATTGAATACTTTGTACAACTTGCAGGATAATTTTTACTGAACCCTATTCGGTGAAAATTTGGTCAATTTCTTTCTTTGGAAGAGTAAAACATTTTAATCTCTCAATTTCGTTACTGCCTATTTCTACTGACATTTCTCATCGACAATGGTTATATGCTAATTCCGATTTCAGTTAACATTAAAGAGATATTTCATAAAAGTCTATATTGTACAATAGCGAGCAATGAACTGAATCGGTTTTACGAAAAATCACATCGCTCTTGGTTTCTCTCACGTGGAGCTGCTTATCAGCTTTGCCGGTATGGTTTTGGGTGTTTGAACTTTAATAATAGTTAATTAATTCTTCCTGCTTTGTGGGCAATTCATTCATTATATTTAATAGATGAAATATTTTACATATGAAGTATTTTGCATTTAATATAATATTATAAAAGATTTGCATTCCCAATACTCCATTTATACTTTAACTTTTTCCACTTCTTCTACATTTGTTTGTTCTATGGAACGCGTTACTATAATTTCTTCCAACGGCAACGGGAAGTAGTCGATAATTTGTGCCACCTCCTCCGGACGACAGCAAAACATATAACCTAGTGTCGCCAGATGGCGTAAATTTCCGAACGCGCTATTTTTCAACCACTCAACTTCATCGCATACATCCACTTCACAGAATTCGCTGGGACCCGGATTCGTAACCTTTTTATGCATAAAATAAATTCAAATCAAAAAACTTGTGGCAGCTCTTGCTTGAAGGCAAGCACTTACATAAGGTGAATTATGTGCGATTATAACAAAATCTTCCTCGTCTGCACCTGCTGTTGGCTTCACATAAGCCCAAATATATGCGGGTGCGGCAACTGCGATCTTCTCCGTACCTATAGATATAATTTTCCCTTTAAAGGAACTGCAATTGGTGTCCATCGATGGTAGCTGGATATTGCCATGGGTGCCCATATAAACGAGATACTTCGCGGTACGTGTACGTTCGCTGAGGGCTTCGAGGAAACGGCGCCAGTTTTGCTTACGTAGTTGGCGCCACCACATAGTGTTCAAGAGATAAGCGTAACTATCGAGTTTACTTTTCAGCGATTCATCTTGCAATAAACTGTCTAAATCAAAATCGAACGCATCGAAGAGAGTTTGTGATTTACGCAACTCAACGCGGGACACGTCAAACGTCGTTTGACTGTAAGAGATTACAGATATTTTCAAATAATAATTAAAAGTTAAGGCTCCAAAATGCAATTATATTTGGGCAGTATAGAAATATGAGAGGACGAATTTATTTTACTAATACATATACATGCTCACCTCAAAAACTGATAATAGTTCTTCAGGTTGCCAACCTTTTGGCTCAGCTCAACGCCTAGTTCATCTGAAGGGTTTTTCTATTGTTGTAAGTAAAAATCATGGTAGACAAAAAATATGGTAGGCGTTCGAAGTGAAACTTCCGGGATTAGACTTTGAAAATGCGAGCAGTACATAATTCATAATTTTTTTTTAAAACCCAGACAAGAAAGACTACCGATAACTCTTTATAACGAAAATACGAATAAATTTGCTATTCGTATTTAATCAAGTTTTATCTTCAAAGTTTCACTTCAGTAATAGATGATGGTAAGACCTGTTATTTCGATTGTAACATACCTCACCGAATATGTCCACATCGTCATTCGAATGCGCCATAAAGCTGACAAACTTCAATTCAAAATGGTCCAGATCATAGCAGACTCCAGCTTTAATTGTATTGCCAATACCTTGGAACGGCGCACCTATTGCATAAGTCGTGTACTTTTCACAGTTTGGCAAAGTTCTTTTGCTTTCATAAAGTTCATATGTCGTTTGCGATGCGCAGAAAATCGTTGTTTGTGTACCGCTGAAGTTGATGCTGAGACCTTTTGCTGTGATTACATTATTCGAGTCGCAATCGAACTCGGCGGTGCTTACAGCTAAAGACTGGTCAGACTTAGTGTTGTAGCCATAACTAACAGAAATTGAGAGCAGAAAAGATAATATTCCATGCGTACCATTGAGGGAATATAAATACAATTATTTTAAAAGTCTGCACTAACTCACCGATCAGAATAAATCTTCTTGTACATCAAACCGCTGCTGCAGTAAGCCGTTACAGATTCGCCCTTCTGCAATTGTAGCGAAGACGTTTGCGGCGTGAAAATGACTTTTTTCGAACCAAAATTTTGCGCAAACAAAGGGTAGGGGATCAGAAGATCCAGCTGACATGGCGATACCACCCTAATGAAGACGAGGAGTAGCACAAAGTATACATAATTGCATTTGCACATTTTTAGCTGTTGCTGCTGCTTCCACCGCAATAGGAATATTCAAACTGAGGAATTGAAGTGAAGTATTTTTGCAGCTAGGCGTTTGTGTCCAGCACTGGATCCTATCAGTTGAACAAATTCCGTGCGTGTGGGTGTGTGCTCCTCTCTGTATATTTTATCTGAAATTGTATGCCATAAACATTCGAGTATATATATGATGATAGCTGAATGTGTGCGGTATTTAAACAAGACTAGTCCGAATACCGATGTTATTTGCACCAATACACCTTCCACAACATTCCCGATAGGCCAGATTTGAGTTGAAATGAGTTTATCGCCTAATATTTATGCAACGTGGCTACATAAACTAACCGCTGCTTTTGTATCCCTTGCAGTTAAAAGCTGAACTATTGAAGTATCTTAAAATACTAGTATTAGAATTAGAGTTGTCTTGCCGTTGTTGATGTTATAACCGCTTGGGAGCAGTCAAAGTTAGTCTATGTCACGGAGCTCCCTCCGTCCGGGGTGTTAGATGAATGCCACTTAGCGGGCAAGTACAGGAATAGCGTTCAGGGTTAATGTGCTCTGTGGTGCTGAATGGAGTCTCAAGTACTCCCTTGCGTTTGCATGTATAAATGAACTAGTATCAAACAAATAAAAAGCTGAAGTCTTGCTTATATCTTGGTTATAAATACATACGAGTATGTATGTATGTATGTGTAAGATTATTTGTATTTGAAATTACACATATTTTTGTTTATACATATGTAATATAATCTCAATAATACATACATATGTATGTGTATATGTACGCTATGAAATATGGGAAACAAATACCATAATATTTGTAAATTTTTGAAATAATTTACATCATAGACATACATACATACATATGTACATAGATACATACATATGTCAGTGACTTCGACCCTTGAGGCCCAATAAGTTTATATTATGTATTTGAGTATGCTGAATTTGCATTTATTTGGATTTCTATATATTGTACATATGTACGTGTACATTATATGTCTTCACACTATGCATTTATTGTGTTTTATTTTAAATTACAAAGGTTTTATTTATTTATTTTTTTTTTTATTTATAAAGAACTTCTGTAAGCTTTTGAAAATAAATCTTGTAATTTATTACGCTCTACTAAAGAGGCTTTAAACTTGTCTACGATTTTGGCTTTAGCTGGTTATTAATAACAAAAAAAAAAAATTACAAAGTATAAAGAGAAATATAAAATGCAGAAAAATTTGCTATTCACCAATTTCGAAACTTATCTATTTACATATCTTTCCCAAAAAACTCTTCACCAGCCTAATGTGCGAGTATATACAATACATACGTATATATATATATATTTATAGGCATGTATGTTGTGCCATCAAAAGTTATGTAATAAATGTATAATCTTCATCTTGTACGTCATCGTCGGCTGTTTCTATTGTCGTCCCTTCCTCATTATCGATCACTTCAACTTTAGTTTTCAACGGGAAATTGTCGATAACATTAGCCACTTCTCCTGGACGACAGCAAAATGTATAGCCGAGTGTTGGTAACTGTCGCAATTTGCCGAATTTGCTTTCCTTCAACCAATCAACTGTGTCACATATGTCGAATTCACAAAGCGGCTGATGTCCCGGGTCTTTTATCTATGAAAAAATAGATGGTCATGTTGAGTAGTAAGTGAATATACGAATGTAGATATGTATGTATGATGCGTACATAAGGGGAATTATGAGCGATAACCACGAAATCTTCTTCGCTCTTTGTTCCTGTTTGAGATTGCACATAAGCCCAAATATAAGCGGGAGCCTCAACCATCATGTCTTCAGTGTGCACAGTGAACACCTCGTCTCTTGAAGAAGGACAGTTAGTTAGTGCCGATGGCAAGGTGATATTGCCATAGGCGCCCACGCTAACCACATATGCATATTGGCCAGACTCTGTGCGCTGACGTAACGCCTCGAGGAAGTAGCGCCAATTCTCTTCACGTAGTTGTCGCCACCAGATAGTACTTAAAATATGTTCGTAACCGTTAAGCTTGTACTTAATGGCGTCGTCTTGTAATATGTTTTCGACACTAAATTCATTAACGATCTTCTTATTAATTGAATCTGTGCTGTAAAAAGCGGAAGTACAGAAAAAGTGTATAGGTATGTAGGAGCATTTAATAAAGTTTTAGAGTAGAAAAAGGGAGAGGACCAGATCGTCAAAAACTTACTTGATAAATTTGAAATAGTTATGAATGCCGCGGGTTTTAACAGTGAGACTTGCCGATACCCATTTCGCTGAATTGTTCTGTCGCAAAAAATTAAATAAAGAAAGATAAAATATATACTTATGTACGTACATAATATAATATATTACATACATCTTTCAGGGCATCGGATACTTTAGTATTTTTCGGATATGCAAAATATGTCACGTATTTCAATTTGAGCCTGTTCAGATCGTAACAGATGGCTGCAGTGATAGTATCGCCAAGTGGCGGTAGTTGATAACCGATTGCATAAGTCGTAAAGCCTTCACATTTCGGCAAACTCGTTTTGCTCTCGTAAAGAATTGGTGTGGGCTCAGCAGTGCAAGAAATTCTTACATATGTGTACATGTTTCCATTTAATGAAATTTGGTTGTCCAAACATTCCAAATGAGCAGCTTTCCAGTCATTTGGGTATGGAATGGATTCGTAGTTATAATTGCTGTAGCTGCAGGAATTTTAATTTTATTAAACACATTTCATAAATCAGAAAAATCGTTACTATTTGCTTTCCAATTTTATTTCCCCAGTACTGCAGTAGGCCGTTATAGTTTCCCCATCATCCAAAGTTAGCTCATCTTCATGTGCTCTGAAGACTATAGCTTTAGTTCCGAAATTGCTTGAGAATAAGGGCGAGGGCAAATCGATACTCAAACGACAAATCCCCACAACGCGCACGTAATTGCAGGTGGAAAAAACCGTCACGATAAACAATAGATTTGATACGTTCAGCATTTTTACTCGACTGTAGTGTTACTTTACTTAAACTGCGCAACTACGGCGTAATCTAACGCCTTTTATACTTAATCTGTTGACTACATATATACAGGGTGTTTTATAAATATATATATGAACACTAATACTTAGATGTGCCACAAAACACAACACTAAATTATCTGTAGTTGATTTGTTCTGAACTTAAATTCGTCTGACTAAATTTTTCGTCGAATTTTCTGAAAACTAAAGCTCTTATCTGGGTCTACAACTCTTTAGAATTGTGTCATGGAAAGGGAATATTTTCCTTTAAGTAGAACTTATTACCCTGTAAAAATGTGTTTTTATTGACATTTGTTGCAGTTAAAGTTTTTTTTTTATTATAAATATTTGAGCTAAAATAATGCATGTACTGTACATGAATATCAGAGGCATAAAGGTTATCAATTGCAAATCTAAGTTCTCGAAGTCGGGTATTCCCCTTATACCCATATCAAAATGCAACGGGGACGGTTTACAAACATGATTTTCAAACATCAGAAATGATGATAGTTCAAAATAGATTGCGAAATCGAATTATATTCAAATCAAATATGCAAACTTAACAGTAATAGACACGAGCATGATCTTGCACGTCCGCGCCAGTTTATGATACCCCGAAATATCACGAAAGAATACATAGTTTTCGGTGTACACGTAAGAGTTCCGTCATCCGCCATCCACTTATCTCAGGGCTCACTTTTGTAAATTCTCTTATTTTCGTGGGTTGGTTAGCATTTAACTCTCGCACATCTAAGACTTTATGTATTTTTGTAGAACTTAAGACATAAATTGTGGTAAAGTGCTTTTCGGTAAGCTTGAATTTTAGGGTACTCGCATGGATACAATGTAAATATGCATATACATATGTACATTACATGCGTGCGTTACGTACCAAAAACTCTTCATTGACGAGTCTAGGATTAGGTATTTTGGTAGTCTTTCCACAGAACAATTTCTCTATGCCAGTCCAAAGCGGATATAAAAACTGGATTCTTATGAGTAGCAGTGGACACTTATAGCAGGGCTAAAGCGGTTGAACATCTTAGTCTTCGATTAGGTTCAAAAGATGTCTTTGAACTTTAAGAAATATCCCACATCCGACTGATGACCTCCTACAAAATTTTAAAAAATGGATTCAATGCAACTTGAGCTATTAGCGAGCGACGGACAAAAAAATGCGAAGCGAATTAAAATATACAAAAAGGACAACGGGGGAAGTTTGGTCATTTGTAAGATTATGCCGTTAATATTATGACAAAAATTATTCTAATAGTAATTGTGATTCCTTTTTGTCAATTGAAGTGGCAATAGCGTTGTGACCATGGGTACATACTGTGATAAAATTGAAGCTTTGGATTCCGTCAAACGATGCTTAGGAAGGGAAGGACGTAAGATGAATGTCCGTCGGCCAAACTTAGTCGCGGAATGCAGCTCGGAAATGGATGGAGTTTACTAACACGACCTAGTTTTAAATGCACACCTATAAAGTTTCTGGGAAAAAGTTGATGGTGGCTTCTTTCGCATCAAAGGCAAGTACATTGCGTAGCCAACGCGTGAAAATACTACTAAAGTGCAAGTAACGGTCAATGTGGATTAATGGAATATCAAAGTAATATTTAATTTTTTGTGAGCTACGTTATATAGTAAATTGGATAGAGAGAAAATGCTTTAAAATTGTCATACTATTGGTCATCAAAGAATCAATTGTACTCGCTTGGGCAGTACCCAAGGTCCAAAAGGTCACTTCTTGAAATTTTTCAGCCATTAATTTTTAAAAGAGAGTTAATTTCATCATATATATCCTTCAGAGTGCGTTTTTTGTGTTCCAAAAAGTGTTTTTTATTGAAAATGTAAAAAATACATCATTCCCGGTATTATCCGTCGGAAGCGATTTTTCCCCACTCTCTTGAAAGTTTCAAATACCAACTACAAGTCAGTCGGTCTGGAGAATACAGCGGATGGGGTAAGACCTCTCATTTCAGCTTTACTAAGTAATTTTTTTTTTGGCAAAATCACATTGTCACGCCTTACGGTCACTTCGTTTTCAATAGTTGTAGTTGGTAACGATTTGTATCAATGATGTCGCCTGGATCTAGTAGCTTAAGCACACCACGTTATGCAGAGCATTACCTTTGAACCGTGGATAGCCCCTTCTAAAGCGTCGAAACCACTATCTGCATTGGTCGGCGCACTTTTCTTACAACTAAAATAGGAAAGCTTTTCACAAATGCTGTTTTTTTTTAACACAAATCCGACTGTTTTCGGAAATGCTTTTGTCAGAAACAGATGCGTTGGTATTTACGTCTTGCACGCATACCACCGTCCCGTTTGACATGCACAAAACAACGGTTTTTTTAATATTAAAAGAAGTGAAATCTTTAATATATATTACACATATGTATGTAATACTTGTTTATCAGTAAAATAACTTATTAATAAATAATAAAATTTTAAACCAATGGAAATTTCACGAACGTGTGGGCGACCTCTTCTGGACGACAGCAAAATATGATGCCAAAGGTCGGCATTAACCTCGTGTGACCGAATTTACTCATTCGCAGCCAATCAATTTTATCGCAAATATCATGGCAAAATATCGCTGAGCTTTTCAAATTATACTACAAAAAAATATAATAAATTTTAGATTTAAATCAATTATACCTATGTAAATACATATATAGTTGTGTACAACAAATTAACGAACGGAAAAGCAGTCAATACTTGTGAGAATCAGTAGAATTTTTATGCTCTTCAAAACTTTTAGTGCTAATAAACTCAATATTCATTTGGATTTAAATATTTCACTTACATATGGTGAATTGTAGGCGATGACCACGAACTCTTCATTCACATTGTCGTTTAGCGATTTTAAGTACGACCAAACATATACGGGCGGCAGTACAACCAAACTGCCGACTTCGACCGACAAATGATCACTTTCGGCGGTTATATTGTTACTGGATGTATCGGGTATACGTATTAGACCCGTTGTACCCATGTACACCCGGTACGAGATGTGTTTGCTACGTGCGGCCAGCGCATCCAAATAAAAGCGCCAATTGCCGATGCGTAAATTGCGCCACCACATTGTATTGAAGATGTGTGTGAATTCGGCGAGTTCCTCCTGAAGCGGGGTGCCCTGCAACAAGCTGACGTAATCGTAGTCATAAGTCTCCAGTAGTGGTATCGTACGCTTCAGATGCGAGAATTGTTGGTTGAACTCTGTTGGGCTGTGTAATTAAAGAGGGGGTGAGATGAAAAGAGGCGGGTAATAAATACACGAATGGCATATGCGCTTACCTCATGAAAGAGAAGTATGTGTTGAGATTGCCTAATTTGGTTTTAAAATCACCAATCAATTGATTCTTACTCAAAGCCGAATTGTTTAACTGGAATTTTGAAAAAAAAATCGTTAGGAAAGCATATAGTATAATATGGTCTTAGTCGCACGAATACGGTGAAGCCTGCAATCGGAATATCTGCTAAAGACGATTCGGGTTTGTCGAACACATCGGAGGCAATTATACGTGTAGTATGTTTCTAGGTTGGGTAATTAAATCGAATGCGAATTATACGATTTTAGATACGACAAGGTTCATGTGAAATTTAACTCTTGGTTATGTTGAAAACTCAAATCGATGTATTTAAGAAAACTTTTCCTAAACTTAACTACAAAATACTCATAACGGTGCTTGTGTATGAAAATGGCAAACGAATTTTTTTGTTTTAATTTCAAATGGCTGCAAAGAAGGAAAAGAAGAAGGAAAATTCACGTCATCTTCGGCACATCCGAATCTCTTAGCTAGCGCGTGGACTTCTTGGGTAAGAAAAGTTTAATTTCCAAACTTACTTGAATGACCTCGTCGTATTTAGGACGATACGCGACATAATTGACGTATTTCAGTGCCAATGCATCGAGGTCGTAACACATAGTTGCTGAGATGATGTCCTGCACATTCGGCACAGCAATGCCTATCGCGTAATTCATGTACTCGTTACATTTCGGCAATTTCGTGCCACTTTCGTACAGTGACGGCGTCCACGGAGACTGACAGCTGATGTACACCGCATTCACATTGGTATCTTTATAAATGCTTGAGTTCATATTACGGTAATAGAGGCGATAGCCTTTATAACACTTGAACTGCTTACTGCCATCCGTAGCGGTCTGTGCGACACTGTTTAATTTTGTTTGAATACTATAAAGTGGAAAGACATAATTCGATTTTCAATTGCAATAGCTCACAAATCTAGAAGAAGAACTTACTAAATGCCGGTTAAGCAATGCACTTCCACTTCGTCCGTTTCATTCAACCTGACCGTGCCCGACTCTTGTGCGTACATAACGCGATTGGCATTGTCCGATTTCATGATTACTGGCAAGTTACCATGAATATGTAGCAAACACTCGGCGTGAACTCGGTAGGCACATGGGAAGACGGTCAGGAGCAGTAGCGTTAAGCCCACGAACGTCATCATCTTGACTAAAAGACTGTGGCGTGGCAAATGCAACTGTGATGTTTTTGCGTTGCGCTTGGCTTTTTGTTAAAATTTCATACATTTTTTAGTTTACATTAACTTTTATCTTTATATTGAACAGTTGTTTTCTCCCTCATCACACAGTATTGGTTTGATCTTTTGCAAGAGAATTGAGAGAAAGTCTGATTTCTCGATCATCGCAATCAATTAAATGTTGGTTTGAATTTGAAAACACTTGTGGCAGAAATATGGGAATTAAAAGACGGGAAATTTTACTAAATTCTCAGATCTCGAATCACAGTTAGTCCCCTTGGTTGTGGTGTTAATTAATTGTATTCCAATTGCGGCCTCCCCACGACAACGATTACCAGCACCGACATGAAATGAAAACCTCTCACGATAACCATGAACCATTCCGAGGTGGCTTGAAAGTAAACCGTAGGTTACTCCATTTGTTGGAAAAAAGGTCAAGAGATACACCACAAATAAGTAGAGGAGCTAATGCGCGATTCTCATCTGGTGTCCCTAGACCACATGCATCAGTTGTATAATCAGACATTAAAGGGTTCCTTTGGAAAATTTTTCAGCCTTACTGGCGAAAAGTTATTAAATCCAGGGTTAACTCATCATAGAGTGCTGTATTAAGCACTTATTGGCTTTTTGATGAGTGTGTGTCCGCTGGATTTAACTAAAGACACTGGTTACAAAATGCTGTAGCCCAAGCATACAGGAGCGTAGTGTCTGTAACTCTGTAACTCACACTACGATGCGCTTAATTACATTTCAAAATGTGATCGTATACAAAATAATGAATCAATACGAAAGAATAAATAATTGCTACCGTGTGAATTTCGGTCGAGAAATAAAAAAAAATTCAATATTCCCATGCATTTTATATGAAAATATACAAACATACAAATGCGCATACTTTGAAAATATTGAAAAAAAAAATCAAGGAATGCCCGAAATAATGACCCGCCCTGCAATATAAGACGAAGGAGAAGAAGAGAACCAAGAGGAGAGAGCTGAGAGTATAAGTGCTTCTCTCACCGCATAGTAAAGCTGATAACCCATAGGACTATATTTACATTGCATTTACATATGCATATGTATCAATATGTATGCATAAGTTTATATTAAGGTGACTCATATTGGCAAAGTTTTTAATAACAATTATCCTTTGTTAAAGTTTTCAATTTCTTGGATTCGCCCAAGAAAAGCATGGAAGACAAGTTTGGGTACTAGATAAGTAAACAAAATTTAGTAATTTCAAATATATATAGAATATAATGATTTTTAAATTTTCAAAAATAGAAGGTCCAATCTAAAGGCATACCTACTGCCTTACTGTCATTCACGTATGCCTACATATACATATGTCGGTCATTTTTTGTAAGACTTTAGTAAAAAGTATCAAACCTACCTAGTTTGGTTGGATTCTCTTGAATATTCGATATTAAGTGGTGGCTGGAAAATAATAAGTCCGTTATATGTGGCAAAGATGTAGTTATTTTATGGGAATTATATTTATCAATTTTTATCGAATTCCGTACAGTGGATTATTTTCTGGGAAATACTTCATAACCAAAATTTTTTTCTAGCTTCAAATATGACTCTTATTTGAAATTATATTTTATGGGATTTAAATTTACTTAAAAAGCTCAAATTCATGACTGTGCCTTTGTCAACAGGAATTAAATTTGCATAACTTTTATTATCACTACTGGACGTATGAATTTAAAGTGAGCATTTGAACTCAAAAATACTGAGCCACCTTAATAAGCACTTCAACACATGTGTACATATGTATGTACGAGTATGTACGAGTATGTTCAAAGCAAATCACTCAAGGCACACTACTATATGAATGGGGTATATTTGTAAGCAGATATGTTTACTGAATTTACAACAACAACAACCATTTTAAAAGAGTAAAAGAGTGAACTACGTAAAGCAAAAAGAAAAAACAAAAACAAAACAAAAATATCGAGCAAAAAGGGCAATGAAAACACGTTGTCCTCACAGCCGCATGATAGTACTTTCAAGCATGTGTGGGAACTCTCCGTTGAAATGAAAATGAACAAGTGAAATGAGAACGCCGCCCACGTAAAATGAAAAATGTACCAATACATACATATGTACATCTATGCGCAAATTCCTGCTGAAGATCATACCTGAACTCACATATGAGTCTATACACACAAACATATTTGAATAGGTAAGTGTGTGTAAAAATTTTTGATTGCAAATGCTCGTTAAAGGATACGCGAAAGGATAAACAGCGTGAAAGGAAATAATCTTTTTTATACATATGTTTTATTTGGCATAGTGAAAATATTTCAATATCTTTGTTTCATATTATTGAGTTGTTATACCCAGCAGAGTAGATTTTGTTCTCCTGACGAGGACTTGACAAATTGAGTCTTACTCACAATAAGGTGCTCTTCTACCTGGCGATGCCTCGTATTCAATATTCTATTCCCCAGATCCTACTAGGTCTCCAGGTATTATATTATGTATAAGATGTTTTCTTTTCAGGTATCTTTCTTCTATCTTATCCGCTTTCCGATATCTGCTTTCTGGTGCCTAAACTCATATACACACTTCCTATATCTGCTTTAAAGGCATCATGTTTCAGGTGCCATATTTTTAATAATCTCTTTCTTCAGTATCTTCATTAATCAGTCCATAGTAAAGTGAAAACTCTGACTTTTGTATTGTATATACATACATACGTATATACACAACTAAACATATAAACTGTGTAAATTTAATCAGTTTTCCGCATAGCCTCCAACTCCAACTAACTACCGTCCAACAGCCAATTACGAGTATCTAAACCATCGGTTCCACATCATCTTATCTAGCTCTTCCTTATTGTTTTGCTGGTTCCCACCATGATAAACGTGTGAATTTTGAATCTCAAATATGTTGCGTATTTGTTCATATTCTTTTGTACGAGTGTGTACTGTATATGTGTACCAATATGCGCTTCGAGAGCAGCAGATGACAGCGGAAAGAGATTTGTTTGTTCCGCTGCGAGGTTGGAAAGAACTCCTTCAATTAATTTTGGTTGCATACATTATTTCATATATACATAATATACATAATATACATACATATATACTTCTTATACACTTGTTTCTAGCGGAAGCGGTGTCTCGATGATGGCAACGCGTAAAACGAGCGACTGCCACACGTTTGCCTTCTCGGCAAGTAAAAGCGGAAGTGAATTTGTTTTAAAGAGGAGAGAAAAAAAATTGATGGATTTTGAAAATAAAAGATAAAAAATATTCCATGTACCGTTATTTAGGTAGTACTGCATGTATAATTATTTAATAGACAGGGATGGGAGTAAAATAACTGGAATTCAGGAGGTTTAGGAAAAGCAATACTAGGAGCTTTTCTTAGGCTTAAGTTTTCTCGCTGACGTAATTCAGATATTTATTCAAAAACCATTTATTCCAAGGACCAATTCCATTTTTCGCCGTTTTAGTTCCCCTCCTTGCAGTTGTTCCTCTGTATGCCAGAAGCGCGATGTTGAGGTGTAAATATTTTACGTTTTACTTGTAGCATGTAATAATCGGTTTGTTGTTGTATTTGCTTCACTTATTTAAAATCCAATCAGGATTTGGTATAGTAGACATCGAAAATATAATCTCACTTTGAAGACCAATTTTTTTATGGAATTTCGTTATCAACACCAAGAAACTTTTGTTCTTACAATTCTTAAATTATATTTATAAGTCTTTTTTCAAGTCAAAAATAGCTCTGTTTGATTGTTTTTAAGTTTCTTAGCCGAAATGGTTGCGTGCTCCAGCTCATGGTGGTAAAACGATCGTCTGTCCTCCTGGGCCAATATTTCTGGAGAAGCTCCGTCTAAATAGTCAGATTTTGTAAGATTTCTGAAGGGTAAAAACTGCTCGATGAAGCTCCATTTGTATAGTAACAGAGCCTGTCTAGCAGAACTAAAATGGTCTAGGAACTTCTATAGCATTATTTGTATAGTGGTTGAGAGTACGTTCTCTGTAGCACTTTTGTCCATCCCAGCCGAACCCTCGTATTGACCTTGTGTTCACTTGTACTAACCTCGAATAACTCACCAGTCAATGGGTGTCATCCTCTTATCAACTAGTCATCGCATCAATTGTTGCATTTCGTCTGGTTCGAGGAAAGTCATAATAAGACGATGAAATCCTATAGATTGCTGAAAAGATTTATCAGTCCAAACTCTTTTTGAGGCAAATGGTTGGTCATTCCAGCGGGTTAAGCTGTGTAAACACTCTATCACCTTCACCTGCTTGATTTATCTGGTATCTGCGCTGAGTTGTGAGGAGTGTGCGCCTGGTCATCCCGTATATATAAAATATATAAATATCTATCGTGATGGCCGGGATATACATATATGTATATATATGGAGCGGTGTATCTATTAAACTGTCGCGTAGTGTAAATGTGTGTTTGCTGTGCGGAAATGGCCTTCAATCATTATTATTCGCATTTTGTGCGAATATACTTCCACTTACATACATACATATGTACAAACAAGGAAAGCGTAACAAACGTACACGCATTGTGATAAGAGTAGCATAAGCAAATCCATTCATACGTACATGCATCTATATATGTATATATATGTACATTTTGTATATGGATTTATGTATATGCAGTTCTATTATCACTACTTTGTTCTTGTTTAGCAAGCAACTTACTTATACACCAACAACAGTAGATATGTATAAATTTAGCTCAACTTCAATTATCGCTGCTATAAAAAGGCAGAATGCCTCAGGAAACTGCGATACAGTGAACCGCGCCATTCGAGAGCTAAAGTTTCGAGACTACATTTCCAGTGATTTCAGAGCCAACGCAGTGTTAGAAAGGAAGGCAGGCGTTTCCGGGCGATAAAATAGTAACGGATTTAAATACTCCGCACAACTTGTAGTAGTTAAAAATGTCCAGCTTCGTATGTATACCTTTTGCAAAAACTTAAGAAAATAATAAAAATTGTAATAATATACATCATTACCAATTTATTTACAGAAAATCAGCTATTTTCAACTTCTTTCAATTCAATTTCTTCTGCTTCTTAACTCACTGCCAGCAAGCAGCGCTCAACCACTACGCGATTCGGTGACCACACAAGCCACATTGTACGCTTACGAAGCGTTACCGCAGATACAAGATCCCCCCAATGCTGATGAGCCTATTCTACAAGAGTTGGATGCCTCTTTGACGAAGTTGGCCAACGTCTATATGCAGGCGCTCTTTTCCGGCACACACAACTCACAGCTGGAGGCCGAATTGGACGTGCTGGAGTTGCGACTTTTCGATTTGCTGGACGCACTCTACAAGGAGCAACGTATGGCTGAATACATGAAGTACGAGGCCGAAGTCACACACCAAATGATCATTTATAATCTGTTGAAAAAGCTCTTTGGTTATGTGAAGGAGGATCAGCATTCTTAGAATGTAGAGCAACTGACTTGGACCAGGAAAGCAAAGTGCTACGATTGTGAATAACCACAGACATCACAACAGGGACTAATTTTATTGCAAGTGTTTTGATCGCGCTCACAATAGGATGAAATCAGATTTCAGTTTATGCTTTGAAGTGTTGGAGCTTTAAAGGTTAAACAGAAGTGTTTATAGCTTTATAAGCTAAAAAAGTGAAAGCTCTTTTCTCGGTAAGAATATCAGTTCTGATCAGCTTAAAAGAGAAAGTTTCGTATTAGACTTAATCTACTAATGACTCTTGCGAATTAAATGATTTTCATTAGTTGTTATGTACTTACATGTACATATATATGTAATATGAAGGAAACACGTTTTCATGTTGGTAAAAATAATTATAAAAATAATATAAAAGTCAACAATTTCTCGGTATAATTTATTATTGGATTTGTGGTAGAGAGTGTAGTTGTGTTCACCCCGGTGGACGAACGTTTTTTTATAATACGCATTAAGGCGATATAACGTAGCGTATCGCTACTTTACGTTTACGATCCCATGAAAGCAAAGGTCAAAAGATGCCTTAAACGCTCGTATAACCACTGCTTTCGCCTCGACGTCATAATACTGCTTTACGAGCTACATAAGAACCAGACTGGACGTACCTTCATCTTTGGTGCATCGGTCGGACAACTTAGCGTTCATGGTGCAACATTCCCTAATGTACTTAGGCTGAATGGCTTCACCGGGGCGATGGACTGAAAACTTGTCGGCAGTGTTCCAGACCACCGTACATTCCCTGAACTAGGATCAACTCAGACCATTATCATGTCGCAGACATGACTGCTCTTCAAAGAAACACAAGCAAAGTTGAATGTCGATAATCCAAATGCTTTCCTACCCGATTTAACGTTTGAAGATTCGATAAGTGCTGTGAAAAGGAAGAGGAAGAAAACTAATGCAGCCGACTTAACAAAAAGAAAACAGTATTTTAGCTTCGAAATTATTTATTTTTTATTTATGTACAATTTTTTGTGTCGGTATTCTGATTGAAAAGAATTAATATTAAAATATCAAACATAAAAAGATTTCTTTGCAACTATTATGCCTTCACTAAATAATATTATTGATTTTAAATTAATTACTCTTCATCATTTTACAGTTACATTATGAGCCAATTGGAAAATCGGTGTTCTATTTTATTTTCATAATTATCTTATAATACGAATCGCATAAGAATTCTTTCCTGCCAGAAAATAAAGGTATAATCACGTAAGAATCCTAAAAGTAGGCTTCATTATTTTTACTACGGCTATAAACGAAGCACTCACCGTCTTCCTCATTAATGGTTTTTAGTCTAAAATACAGTTAAAGGGAAAAAACTGAACTTCTTCGTGTACTTTGATTCGTTTTTTCAAGTTCATTAAGAAACTAGAAAAACTCGAAATACTCGGGAAAATAACATACACGTACATACACGTATAAGTAAACAGTGCACAAATTTACTACACAACATAAAATTCGTTAAACAAAATCAATAGAAACAAATATTTTTAGATAATTCGCAACATTTTCCAAATTCAATACGCATAGAACTAAGTAAAAGTAAGATTAGAGTTATTAAAGCAGGTTCAAACTCTTACGCCAAAGCTTTTGGAACACTTATTACTTACATACATAAGTGAATACTTACAAACTATTTTTTCAAAAATTGTATTTTAACAACTAACAAATAGATTTTCTTAAACCTAATGCGAGTATGAAACGTTCCATTTAAAAAAAATATATATATGTACGTGTATATTCAACAATAATACATACATACAGAAATTTCTAAAATATGAAATAGAGCAAAGGGAGAAAAACTTAAAACTTAAAACTCAACATAACATAGAACATAGAATTACAAAAGTGAACAATAACAAATGAAATTACTTGTTGCACCGATTAAAATCTCAGATAAAATTGTCACATCCATCGATTAATCCTGACGCTGACTAATTATTCCATTTCGAATAATTTACACAGGTGTAACCCTCACCCCTTGTCCAACTCGCGGATCACTAATGCTTGAGTCACCACAGCTAAATCTCACTTTGCACCCGACAAAGTTGACCAGCCCAGTTGTTCGGCGTGTCACCACGGACGCCACATATTGTCGTTGTCTTCTTTCAGCTCCTGCAGCTTGTGCTTTTGCTTGCGCAACGCGGCCTCCGACGCTGGTGGCTCTGCACTTGTTTTTGAATCCCGGGCTGGTTTCTTGCTCGGCGGTGTCTCACACGCATCGCTCGAGTCCGCTTCGTCATCATCTAGTGGACGTTTCAATGAACCATTCATTTCGACGCCACTGTCGCTACAATCATTGTTGTTGTTGCTGCTAGAGCTCGTATTGCAACTGTGGCCACTGACGTTACCGCTGGTCGAAGACACTTGCTGTTGCTGCAGATGCGTTGAAAACTTAGTCGCGCTGTGGTTGGCTGCAGATGCTTGTGAGGAGGTTGAGCAGGTCAGCAGTGATGACTCGGCACTGGACGGTGTTGAAAATACACCCGAGAAATTGTGCTGATGATCGCCGGTCACATCGAGCGGTGGTGTAGCCGGGCGAGAGCCGGTGAAAACGGAGCTGGTATGCATAAGTGAATCCTCGCACTGACTGGAAACGGAGGAGATGGGACTTAGTGGAGGACTGTTGGTTGCGGTTGAGCTTTGGTGGTGTAATTGGTGTGTAGGTGCCGCACGTGATTGTTGCTGTTGCTGTTGCTGATGCTGCTGTTGCGTGTGCGTGGCAGCTATGAAACCGTTACCAAAACTACTGCACAGTTGTGTACTCTTGCCACTCGTAGCAGCGGTTGGTGTGGGCGCGTTTACTTGCGTTTGCGTTGCCGCAGCTGGTGGTCGACTGAAAGCGCTCAAACGCTTATAATTAGCGGCGAAATCGTTGACGGGCACGCTAGAGGCTGGCAGCTGGGTAGGCGCTGTGATCGCTGTGGCGACTGTAGTTGCCGTTGCGCTCGCCACGGGTGAGGTTACTGCAGCGGCAATTCTGCCATGGGCGTAGTTGGCGAAAGGCGCGCTTGTGCTGTTATTGTTATTTAGTACATTCGCATGCGCTGACGTTGGCATAATAAGCGCAAATTCCCCGGAAGGCAAACGTGACGGTATCAACTGAACGCCGCCCATTTGTACGGGTGGCATAGTCGGCGCTGCCACACCAAGATTGCTGCCGAAGACGCTACTGCTGCTGCTGCTGTTGTTGTTGTTGAAATCTTGTGGCAGCGTTGGAAAGAGTGCACCAGGCCCACTATTACCCGAGATTGCCAAGGGATTGCCAGCCAACGCGTTACCAAAAAGATTACCCGGCGCGGAGATTGTGCCCATAGCGAGCTGACCACGATAGCCGTTATTGAAATTAGTCATGGAGCCGAGCTGTTCCAAATTGCTGGCGCAACTGCTCAGATGAGTAGTTAGACGCTGTCGCACCAAAGCATCCACACCGTCCAACTGGTTGATGTAGCGATTGACCTCTTCGGCGCACTCAATGAACCCCGTTTTGAATTTGTGCACCACCGTGGGATCTGTTTGGATGGCCATGCTCAGCTGCTGACGCTGAACTGATTGCAAATGTTTAACGGTCATCTCTAGTATATCAGCCTTCTCAAGTTTAGTGTGGCGGGCGGGCTAAAAAGAGTAGAGATGGGAGATTATTTATTAAAAAAAATGCATACTTATGTGGAAATATGCCGTTATTTTACTCAAACGGCGCCAAGCTCATTAATATTCTGTGGAAATTAATAGTTACAGATCATGACACGAAATGAAAGAACTGCTTTACTTATTTCTAAGCTAACTGTCCCACGACTAGCATCTATCAACCCACACTCCCCTGTTGAAACGTAAGGTCTTTCAGAAATATTTCGCACATTTCTGTGAAATGCAGAAAATGTTTTTGAAGTTGCGCTACTTTGCACTTTTTGTTGCTACTTTAACGTCTCATTCAGCTCCTGATTGTTTTTGTATTATTTATTTATTTAATTTTTTTCCGGTTGGCCAAGCAGCTTCTAATTGATTGCAATTTGTACGAAAAATCTCGCCACAACTTTAAAGCAACAAAAATAAAAAAGAACTCCCATGATAATGAGAAAAAATTGAAGCGAAAGACAGTGCAAAAGAGCTACAGCGCCCAATGCTTTTGTACAACACACAGATACAAGCACAAACATCCACAGCAACTGACCAAACCACAGGCTGCAGCGTTTCAATTTGTGGATTCCCTTCAAGAAAATGCCACTTCACTTTTGCTTTTCTTTTTGTTTTGTTCGTTTGTTATTTGGCTTTCAAAAAGAATCAGTGATCGCTGATGATGATCGGCACACGATCGTGACAGACAGTATAGCAATAACCAAAAAAAATTACCAAACCATATGTACAACCTTGGCTTAGATGCTGGGAATCGCAGCTCAGGTGGGAAAAAAACGTTGAGCTTCATCGTCAACGGAGTGTGAAGCTACTTATTGTCGGTGGCTGATCAGCTAAACTCCTTTGTGATGCACAAGAAACTCGGACTCGTCTGTTGTCTGGGTGCTTGTTGTAATCGAGGCTGTTCGCCAGCCAGATCATGGCATAGTGCTATTGTTCCTTAGCTTGTTATTGTTGTTTTATTTACTAAAGCGTCTGTCAATGCACTTACGTATATGTAAATACGAGTATATTAACACACGTGCATGTAAAGGCTTGCAAATTTCAGCGTCATCGTTTATTGGAACGGCGTTCTCAGGGTGCCTTCAATTCACTGAATCACCAGCGTTCTGAGCGCTGGTTACATGTTTGAATATGCATGCTATGTATGTATGTATGTATATGGTTGCGTTTATATGAATGCATTCGAGATTTTATGGAGGGAATTCACTGGGAACCGAGTCGGATTTTTCTATATTATCTTTACCGAGCTCAAAGTTCGAAGAGGCCCAGAAATTTCGGGCGGAGTTTTGGGATCTACGACTAGTTTGCTAGAACGAAAGCTCAGGTTTGGTTTCTCAAAATTTAGATAACATTTTTTAGTTTTTTGTTGCAGAAGGTGGAAGTTCCGATATTTCGAGCCGGTCTTGAGATCTTCCTTACCAGTGCAGTGTTTGAAATCACAAAGCGATGAGTCTCTTTGGGTCTGCTTTTTGCTGTACTTCATCTAAAGCGAAGTGAGAGCTCTGATCTTCCAAGACCAGCAGAATTTTTACATCTCTAAAACATTCGTTTATTTATATTTGCATGTCTGTATGTTTGTATGTATGCACACTGACTAAAAATTCCCACGCAACACGTTTACCTTCGGTTTTGTTTTCATTATACACTTCTATTGCTGTTGTTGCTATTTTATTTACTCTCTCCATTGCTTCTACTTTTTTTCTGCTCCGTCTGCTGGCCGATCTTGTTCACGTCACGCCGTTTCATAACGAGCAAGCCCTCAACTGCAGACTTACTCGAGCATACATACACATAAACATAGAGACATTGAAATGATGATCATGAGTGTGATCAGCAAATAATCATTATGAGCTCAATATGTTGCTGTTGTTGTTGGCGTTTTTTCTCACACTTGGCGATCAGCACACTCACCCGCCTTTTAATATGTAGACATACACAGGCAGCACAGCAGGATCATTTTTTTTTTTTTTTCAGTATTTTCTTTTATTCGCTACTTCTTCTTCCACCTACTTCTCTCAGCAGTGAAGAGTGTGCATTGTGCAATATTTACTTTGCTTTTTTAATAAATCCTTTTTTTTAGTCTTTTGTTGGCTCTCTTTGATATCGCTGTAGCCGGTGAACAGGTTCCCACTCAATCAATGGCCTCGCAATTGCCATATTCTCATATTGCCCTTTAGCCTTTGGCTGCTAGCGAAACAAGTGATTTTATCGTTGGCGATCGTTCGCTTTTATCAGTGCCGCCACTGCCGCCGTCGGCTGGTTCAGTACTTTCAAAGGATTTGCACTTTTTTCAATTTGATTTTTTTTTTTTTTTTTTTTAGTTTTTCGTCAAACCAATGCTGACTTTTTTTCAAGTTTTTTTTTCAATATTACATTTTTAAAGGAATTTTACACTCAATTTATACAAAATACGTAGAATAAGATTAAAAGCAGGGAATCAAGCGAAGAGACGTGAAGGATATGAAAGACACACTTGTTTGGCTCACGGCAGGACACTCAAAAATCAATGAGTTGTTATTACTGTTGGGGGAGGATTTAGTGCGCTCAAGTGGCCGGGCGAGCAATTTGTTGTTGCTGCTTTTTCTTTGATAACCCAAAGAAAGTTTTTAGACAGTCATGAATTGAGAAAGTTTTACGTGAAAAAGTTGAACAGTCAAAGATACGGAAAAAGCGAGTCCTGTGCAACATTATGAGCACAAATCCTAAAGCTTTTAATATTTTCTATAAATAGTTGACCCGGGATATGTCTGAGTAATATTTAACCTAAAGATATTTAGACACGAGTCAATCTTTCCAATCTGAAGAATGCTTGGAAAACTCGTGTTACCGTTGTTCAGTATAATTTTTTATTGTTACACAATATTCCCGAAATAAATTAATTGAAATTTTTCTAAAATACACTTTGGTGTTTGTCCCGTGCGAATGCCACATTAAGAAGATAGAGGTCATAGGGAGGAATTATAGGCATAATGAATTTCTATCTACTTGTTTGCAAAAAATCAAAATTAAAATGGAAAATTCTTTCACCGATTACTAGATTTTATATAATCTTCAAATCTGCTGAACGGCATTTGAGGTACAGTGGCTACCAATTTGAAAACACAACATTTAAAGTTTTGACGATTTTTTGAAGCGCACTCTTTTTGGTTACTGTATAACTTTAAAATTCTTTGCCGGATTATGCAGAAAAAAATTTTAAAAATCAGTTTTTCTTACAATTCTGATAAAACTTGGATTATAATTTTTTTCTTTTTCAATTTCAGCTGACGTTCGCAAGCTTTAATTAAATTTACATTAACAAATTCAGCCAATTGCATCAATGTAATAATCAGCACTGATTAATTATATTATCAACCAAGCTTAGTTGCACTTATGAACTTTGCAAACTATAATCTTGCCTTAAACAATTCAAGAAAGTGCATTTGTGAATCATCGAAATTAATTTCTGCTCAATTATCTGCTTATTCATTGACTTTCATTTATGCTGACCTCTACTGATCCCAACTGATCTTTGCTATATTGCAATCGCTAATTTGCATTTAAATTATCACAAATTCGTCATTTATAACTAAACTAAAATGATTGTCATTGAAATATTAACAGGAAAATTATATATACTCGTAGATAGACTTATAAATAGGTTCAATGCGATCACTGTGTATCAACAATATGATAATCAGCTCGTAATTTTTATGGGTCTTACGCTAAGCAAAACCGTTGTACGAGTACATGTTAGAACTTAGTATTGAATATTCGGGAAAATATTTAAGATTTTTTAAAAATTTCTTTTCGTTTAATTGAAAACATTTTAGAAAATATTGTTAAAACTAGGCGCTTTTCAAATGGAAAGATTTCAGAATTTACATTTGTCCACTTACGTCTTTCTTCATAGCTTCCAAGATTAGCGATTTCAGCTCGTTAAGGCAGTGATTTATGCGCGCACGCCGGCGCTTTTCCATAATTGGCTTATTCGTCTGGAAAATAAGAGGCAGAGAAACAGAAATGAGCAGCATGTCTATTCTTTGGGATAGAAATATAAAATGGTAAGTGTAGAACTTGTAAGAGACGAAGGGGAAAGACTTAACTAATGTTGGGATTAAGCAATTTTGAATAATTTCAATATTAAGGTACGATTTTTAATTGCTAATTTCTTTTTCTTCTAATTTTTTTTAATAACTGATTGTAAAATTACGAAAATTTTCGTATTAAAATAATTTCATTTCAAATCTAAAGAGGAAGATTTCTGAGGAAAAAATACTTTTTAGTAGCGAATCACTAACTGCACATTTTTAAAGAGATGGAGATTTCATCTAAAGTTTTTTGAATGAATTCAGCCGCGGAAACGTGAGAGTTTTCAAAATAGTAGCGACATTATATGTGATGGTATACGACTCGAGCTGGGTTTGAGATTTCTTCATTATTCTCAAAAACTTGCCCAGTCTCAGCTCCTTTAATAATATTTGAATTTATTAGATTTTATTAGGCACAACTGGATTTTATATATCAAATTTTTTTTTTAATTTTGCAACGTACAAAAACTGCAAATTTTTAAGTAAATAATTTTTAAATTATTCGGACACCTCCTTGAACGTTCTTTCGCCCTACGCGTTTGTGAGATTTAAAAAAGTTTTCACGTTTTTTTTTTATAGAAAATGTAGTACCTTTCGCAACTCAGCTTTCGACAAGCCGTGTGGATTCGACATCTGTCCTTGTCCACTGCCATTTGTACCGTTATAGCTATCGCTGTAGCCACCATTTGAACAATCGAAATCGTCGTCCGAATGATAATCCATGTTTTTATAGTCCATATATTCTTAAATTATTGTTATTATTGTAACAAAATAAAATATAACAGGTTTTTATTCCAAGTTTCAACAACCAGAAGATGTGACTACTAAAATAAACTGTCGTTTAACATTTCGTTAAATAACTCAACGTATGCACATTTCGCCTTGAAAAACTTTAATTAAAAAATCTGATTCTTTTTTCAAACATAACACTTAAAAAGTTAGAAAACTTTGGTCTACACAAACAACTCCAGCGCAGTGTTTGTTGGCTTTACTTTTTGCCTTTTTATTGCACAGAAATTCTTGCACATTTCATAGTTTCAACATTTCATTTTCCCTGTAGCTTTTTCTTTAGTTTTTTTCACTTTGTTTGGTTTTGTTTTGGCATTATTTATTGACGAATCGCACAAATTTCGTAACTGGAATTAATAGTTCTTGTTTGACGTTGGCGGCGCGCCCAACACACGACTATTCGCGTTCAACTCCAACAGGACACTGATCGTCAGGATGGCGCGTACTCAATGTGATGATCCTTATTGCCTTTTCTTGATGTCAGAACGGTGCTTAAGAGCGCGCTGCTGCCGAACACACGAGGACGAGCGAGCGCACGAACTCACCAAGCTAGTGGCAGAAGCAGAGTTGAAGCCAGTGACGTTTGTCTGCTCATTCACACACGACGTGCACACGAACAACCGACTCCTCGGCTGTGGCTCTGGTTCTGGCTCCTTTAAGTTTTTTCTCACGCTCAACAAAAAACCGGCTGCTCGTTTACTTCACCTTTACGAGTACTACCTGAGCTCACCGGTGAGTAATGATGTGCGTTTGTGTGGTGATCGTCGTGGTAGTGGTGGTGGCTGTTTGTGCGCACCGTGAGACTATCTCTACATATGCATATGACTGATACTGCAGATCGTAAGGCGCATAGGAAAGCGCGGTCTGTGGTTCAGTTTCCTACTGCTACTGCTGCTGATGATTGTGCTCTTAGTGGTTAGTACCAAGTTCCTTGCATGCAGGCGCTCACTTAAATGCTTGAATAAGTTAGTTTATGAGCCGTAAGTGGTTAGTTAGTCAGCGCTGGCGCTGTGGCAAAAGCGTCTGCGAAACTGCATTCCCTTCGACGTCGATTTTTTGTTTTTTGGTGTGTGAATTGTGATGAAATGTAGTGGCATTCCTCGGCTCGTCAGCGTTGTTATTGAATAAATATGTGCATATAAGTCTGTATGTTGGAGTCGAAATTCCTCTGCTTAGCCACTTTCCGGTAATCGACGAGTGGACGAGTGGATGTGGGTGTGTAAAAGCATATATGTATGTATAAGCGCGTGTGTGTGTGTTTGCAATAAATATACATATTACCCTCATTGTCAGTATTTTTATCACAATATCAGCGGGTTAATAAACATATATATGTACTTGTGTACGTATGTATATACAAATAAATATGCATTTTAATATTTCCATTAATTTAAGTGACAGTTATAAATATGTATTAAATATATGTATGTATAGATGTATATATGAACAAGGAAAGAGAAATCACTCAACCCAACTCAATATGATTTTCATTTTTATTGAATACATATACATATATACACATACACATGTGCATAGTTATTTACATATGTAGATATGTACTTATGTTAAACGCATATGTAAACTCCCCATTTAACTGTAACGTAGTGATTTATTGGGTTGGGGAAAAAATACTATAAAGTAATTCATAAAAATTTAAACGGATGTCATATCGCGCTTTATATTGTATTATATGTATGCACACATGTATACGAAAATTAAATGGAATTAATAATACGAAACCATATTTATACTCGTATATAAAAAGGGCTGAATTAAAAATATGAAAGCGAAATTTTTTTTATGAAATCTTATGAATTTTAATATTGAAAAGTTATAAAGTTAAAAAATCACCCATTAAAAATTGCTTCTTCTTCAATGTTTGTAATACTAAGTGAGTCATTTTAACACTTTCATTTTCACTAATTTTTCATAGTAGTTTGAGCTTTGTATATCCAGGGCAGCTTATAGAGCATTTATGCCTTAATTTTATAGATAGACGTTTCGATAAGGAGAAACCGATTTCGACTTTACTTGAATTCGTGCAAAGTTCGAAGCGCTTAAAACAATTTGACATTACCCGAAGAGCCAGTTGAATTAGGAAAGCTTAGGTTATACTGGCAGGCTGTCATGCCATACATTCTCCTATTGGTCCTTTGCAATGCCAAAAGCTTTTCGCAAAGGCCGGACAGAAGCAGACGCTGAAACACTGCGGCACACTCATGCCTTACTCCCTTACACTTTTTGGATATGTCATCTTAATCAATGCCCAGTGTGAGCAAAAAATATGCGTGTATGCCTTCGGTGTCCTTGCACATGATCTTGTTAATTTTATGAGGTTTCATGAATTTTTAGCTCTCTCACCAACTGAAGACTTAATCCAGGAAAATACTGAAGTATTCCAGAAGCTTAAATAATTGCTTGAGATCTAGCTCCACGCACGACTCTATGACCACAGCATAAGCCCACACATAAGCCCATTTGTGGGGACTTGCCTTTATGTCTATTAAGTTTGGAAAACTACTGGCGTGTCAATTCCTGCCAAAAGAGAGTTTAGCTTAAGACTTATGTGCAATCGAATATCGGAGCTCTCTAAAAAAGAATGCCACTGAATGGCTAGCAAAGCAAAGAGAGAGAATTCCTTATCATTGAGAGTGCGATAGTAGCTTTTTGTGGAAGCGCGAGTGATGTCGGCGGCATAAACAATGGCCTCATTGCTTTTTCGCTTCTTCCAGAACCGGGTTTTGAGCACCGTTGAAAAGACCAACTTTTGCAGTGTGTTACGCCACAGCTGTTGAATTATGAAGTCCACTAAAATAGATTTATAGACATCAGGAAGAATGTTGCTGAAAGCTGTCTCTGAAAATCGTTTTGCCTCTTTTGTAATTATCTTTCGAACGTGACGTTTTTTCCATTGCTAGTTACAGTAAAAATTCGGAAGAATAGATTCTGAGCAGCTCTAAAACAATCCTGGTATCCTTACCAGCTTGAATAATGAAGACCACTGCGGCTACCTGCTTTTAAATATTTTTTACTGTAAACTTTCTCTGTTTGATTCAATATACTTAGCTAGTATTCTTTTCAAATGGACAATAAATTAATAAACTCTGACCTTTGTATTTTTTATTAAAAGTATAAATTTGCCAAAAAAAAATATATATATATTTTTTTTGCATCTTCATTGATTGCACGGCACAGCGCAGCAGGCATACAGCTTCCCTTAACCAAGCAAATTCACATACCAACAAACCCGCAGATATATTCTGATGCAGTTTTCTGTTGGGGTGTCGGGTTGTTAAGAAAACTTTCTTCTTTCTTCACAATTCACACACAAATATCGACAGCTGCACTTCACGACATATCATAACTTGACATTCATACCTCCATACATATGTATGTACACACACACACTCAGTCGATCGGGTGACTTAAGGAGGAGGGTAGGTAGTTTGCTCGAGCTGTGGAACGATCACTTAGCTGGTTGGTTGGCTGCACATTTATGGGGGTTGTGTTTTGTTGCGAGGCGCATGAGAGTAGTAAGATTAAGAATTTGGCAGATCACATAAATGTTACACACATACACATATGTATATATGTATTTATAAAGGGATTCATGAAAACAAAAGCAGCAATTTAAAAAATTCATTACTGACGTTGGCTGAGAAGTCGGCCTGAGGTTGTCTGGATAGACGGTGGGTTGCAGCAGGCGAGACGAGCCAAGGCGAAGAACAGCTGTCGCAGTAATAATTAAAATTCGCCGTGGGAAAGTGTGAAGTTCACGATATGTGCATATGTATGTATATATTATATCTATATATGTAAGAATGTATCCAAGTAGCGCCTACCTCTAAATCATTTATTGATATTTTACTTCAAAAACCTTAAATATTTTTTTTTCTGCTCGAGACAATATTGTTCGTATCGCCTTGGAAATGCATTCGAGCACAAGCTAATTTTTGCTATTTAGAAAATGTTTTGGAAATTTATTTCATATGTTACAGGACAGCTGTCGTCGTTTGTGCGAACTTTAAAAGATTTGAAAGAAATTAAAGTGTAGATAAGTAAAGATTTAAAGCAGTATAATTTATGTATATACATATATATATATATATATATATATATATATATATATATAGAGAAATATTCAATTCTGAAAATTACAAAATTTTGTATCAAAAATATATGCTTTTAAAGGTTTTTTTGAACTAGCTAGAACGAAGATAAGAGATTAAGAGCAAGTCTGAGAAGTAGCAGTTCCAAACTTCTAGAATTAGTGGATTCCAGCACCTCTTCTTAATTGTAAGGATAGCTTGGCGGCACTGGAAAGCTCTGAAACACTGAATAAAGTAGAAGATGACTTAGCGATTTGGCGGTCGAGTTCTTAAAAAGGGCACTTCTCTTCGGTCTAGTGGTTTGGAAACAGATGCTAGCTAAAGAAAGCAAAGTCTTAATCTGTGTAATGCGACCAGAATGATGTGGTTGATAAGTGATAGAAGTAGCTCAAGAGAGCCCGAGCGGAAACAGAATAACTACAATTATGGGTTGTCTAACACTTTCTCTTGGGTAGGCACGCAGAGAGGCTGACTTCTTTAAGAGTCATTCAAATGAGATAAAATATGAAATCCATCGCAAATTTCCTCCTAGTGGTATTAAAGACGCCTTATTCTCCAGGGAATAAAACAAGATTAGAAAAAATGCAGAGAAAAAAGGCAGGCGTATCGTGAGCCAAACCATGAGGTTGTGTTTCCCACATTCTACATGAGACGAGTTTATAAATAAAGCATAAAATCATTCAATTAAGTCTCGAGAAAACCACACGCTCATTTAAACAGCATATCAAACGCCTCCGAAAGGATCACTAAATATAATTACATACACTAATACTCACGCAAACACATACGGGAGCGAGTAATTGGGAGGAGTATTTCCCAAAAAGTTCCCATACGCAGCGAGTAAGTAGGCATCGTATGCCATTGGCTTTACCTCTGAACTGTATTGAATTTTTTATTATGCCTCAATGCAGAAGCTAAAAATATCTTAAACACTACCAGAAGTAACAACAACAACAATAATGAAAACCACAAAAACTCAAAGCACAGATTAGCTAGCTGCCGGGCTTCCTTAGTAGGTTTGGCTTACACGTGTACACACATTCATACTGCATTGCATTCGTTTCGAACGCGTCTCGTGAATGCGTCTGCCAAGCGGCAGCCGCATGCACAAAGGGAGCCAAAATATGCACGTATGAAACGTGCCACACAGTTCAAGCCTCACATGGCCCACAATTTGTGAGCAAAGGGCTGGATAACGTCTGGCCGCACGGTTGTTTACGTTTTGAGGTTAAGGTTGCTGGTAATCATATGAAGGCAAAGAAGAGAAGAGAAAGACGTTGAAGCACAGTAAAAAATAATCTTCGCAGTTAATGCCGCAACTTCTTATTGATTTCTTTCGGTGCGCTTATTTTGAACCTTCTCACACTTTTTCACGAGGCAGCGAAGGGAGTCAATGAGGCAGCTGAAGCAGCTGAGGCGGGGATGAGGTACACCACTGTTTAATGAGATCTTCTAAACGGCGGCATGAAGTATGTATGTTTGCAGGTTTGTTTGTCGGTGCGAGTGTGAGTGCGTGTGCGTGGCGCTGTGCGTGAGGAATCCTTTGCATTTTTTTTTGATTTGTTTATTTTATATTTGTGTAATGTGTAAATCGTGCGTTTAACATTTACAAATGAGAAATGAAAAAGTGAGCTAAGCGTTATTAAATGCATACACATATACGTACATACATATACATATGTAAAAAGGATTGGAAGCATAAAAAATAACGACACCTGTGAAAAGGTGCTGCACTTAAAAGCAGCTTCGCGAATATGAAGGCCATCACCACAAGCCTACAGTTATCAATCAATCAATATCCAGATCCTTTGCGGGCAGATGCCTCAACTGCTGAAACCCGAACACGGGGCCGAGTATCGATAAAGTTAAATCTCAATACATTGACTCGTGATTGTGTTACTAATTTTCATTTATTATATAAATTTAATTGCATTAAAAATTTCAAAATTTAGCAACCATCAAAGAAGTTTTTACCCCAAATCTTCCCTGTACACTGTAGAGGATCAGTCAGAATTATTACTTGTTTTAATTTCACTGAATTAAAATATTATGAAACAGTTGACAATGCTTCTCAAAAATATATTCCAGAGCATGCAAACAGGTGGCAACCTTGTATCCAGTATCGAGACTTTCTACTCTCACACTCAGTTATCGAAATGAAATCGTGAGAAATTTCTAACATCTGTTTTGAATGCAGTGATAAAAAGGACCAACAAATGGACAGAGTGGACCTCAAAGCGCTAATAACTTCTGCTTAGCGTTTCGTGCAACCAAATTAATTGACATCAACAACAACTGACACAACTTAATAACATCATATTACAAAAAAAGCATATATATATACATATATATGTTCATAATATAAATTATAGCACACACACATACATACATCGGACCGCCGCACACCTTATATTTCCTTGTCATCATAAAGCGCTAAGCATTTCACGTCCACGTCCATGTCCTGCTCGTCGAAAGCGTGGTTCTCCGCACCTCCACTTTGGCCCAACCAAATTCCCATGCATGTCAAATTGCATACCCACCCCATTAGCGCGGACACACAACCATACACACATACGTATATTGTACGTAAGCAGGAGCACACCTACTCGCACGGGGGTTGTTTGCATGCCACGGTTTAGCGTCTTTCTTGTCTGTCTAATTTCAATATTTTAATTTTTTTCTCAGTCAACACTTGTCCATGCATATCGCGCTCGCCGCGTCCTCCACTCCTCGTAAGGTGTGCGTGCATGTGTTTGTATGTGCCTCGCTCCTGAATGCCGATGCAACCGCACACCCTTGTAATTCCTTTACACTGCTTTACTTCCTTTACTTCCTTATACGAGTACATACATTTCCGTTGCTTCCTATGGCCTGCGGCCTTCTTTGTTTTGTTTTAAAATACAAAAATTTTATTACTGTTTGTTATTGTTTGTGTATGCCATATTCCTTGTGGACGAGGACAATTTTCCCCTTTTGCACGTGAGCTTGGTCGCTGTAAGCCCTCGCAATGAAGTTTACATGGCACATCTGTGCGCTTGTCATCCTTAGTTATGCCTTGAGCTGAGTCGAGCTCTGGCCCTCAGGTGAGCGTGAGAATAAGTTTTTTGTGGGAAACTCTGCACAAACGTACATACATAGGTACGTGAGCATAAATAAATGCATTTGGTTGAGTTCAACGCTGTATTTTTGTTGTTTTCCTTTAATTTTTTTTTTTGAAAAATTTTGATTTCTGCTTTCGTTCTGACTTTAGTTGTTGAATAAAGAAAAGTAAGTACAGTTTTAGCATATAATTTAATCTTTTTGACAATATTTATAGAACAAAAATGGGTATTTCGGATATTTTTTTGGCTCTAAGGAGGAGGCCCAGGTTTAGAGAGAGCTGGGACACTGTAAAGGCGCTGCTCAGTGATCCAGAGTGGTTACTTCGGCGCCCGAATCAGCATGTGCGCAAAATAAATTAACGCAATAATCAATTTTGTACTGGCCTTGCAAATAACAGTGCACTTCAAAGAAGCAGAGATCCGTACACCTAGAGTTAATGTCGAAGAATTGTTTAACTCTTTCGTGTGGTCTCGTAACCGATCCTTCCAAAGTAGATTCCATATGATATTAAACACCAGAATTGGCACGGTTCGCATCCCTACTCTAATGTCAACAAGAGCCAACCGCTGCCCTCGCCCCAGCTTCTTCTGATTGATTTTATGTAGAGTTTTTGTATTATCAGTTAACTGAAAGCGAGTATCTTCCTTTGATGGGAGCTGTATCTCCTTATGAAAATACGGGCTTTTTACTGCGCCATCAGTAACCAGCACATTGATATGATTTCAGTCACAATCTATTTCCAACAAACAACAACAAATGCAGTCCATTATTGTTGGCGTTGAAGGCGAGTAACCGTCATTTTTCCTTAATAAGAGATAAAGTCAATTTGGCTGCAGCTGCTTTATGGCATGTGCGCGCTCTGCGCCAATGTTTGTGTTTCGGATTTTCTTTACATGCCGATTGCAGCACGTTTCTTCAACATCTTGGCGCATGCCAAACGCCGTCTTGCAATCAGCTGGCGGGTCTCGTTGTTTTTCTTAACATTCGACAATACTGGTTAATTCAACAATAGTGACGGGACTCTGTAATTGTGCTCACAGACAGACATACCACTGAATATGTGTTATACATATGCATGTATGTATGTACATGCAACTCTAACGGTCTTAACTTATTATTTTATATGCATATCCACATATGTATGTATATGTATGGAGCCATTGCGTAATTTAGTGTGTACCTTGATTGCCGACACCCTCTTTATATGTTTTGATCTCTCATTTTCGGGTTTTCGGATCCTTTAATGTTCGTTAAATGAAGAAAGTCGAGGCAAAAAGACAAATGGCAACAGAGTCTGAATAGAAACGCACTAAAATGTATGAATTCAGGCCATTTGTTACTGTGCTAAAAACGCTCCGCTAAATATAGTGGAAACATATCTTCACGAAGAGGCATCTGTAGTGGCAGTAGAGCAGCAATAACATCACTAGTATCGATAACGAAATACTCTAAAATCTTACTGGACTGTTGCAGATCTCTTCGCTTGCGTCCGTGGTAATGGAGACATAAAATGTAGGGCACGGTAGGCGAACCTTCTAGAAAGCATATTATTCCGGGTAAAACACGCGTTATAGGCATTCCCAAACCACATGCTGACTGATACTTGAGGGATATATTCAAGTCGACTCAAAGTTGGTCGAAATGAGTCCCGAGAGTATCGAAGGACATATTTTCATCTAAAAAAGAGAACCGTTTTATAGGTAACTGGCATCTTGACGGTACATTGCCTTATAGGATGACATACAAAAACACCAGGAGTATCTTTCAAATGATGCTGTAGGAAGGAGTAAGTAATAAAATTAATTTATTAAGGGCCTAAGAGGTTGGAAGGGGAGCCATAGGGCCAGAGTAAATTTGCCGTGGTATCGCAATGGTTTTATTGTGATCAAAGTATGCCGATGCTCACGTATTCTACGTAACCTATTGAAGTGACTTAAGTCGTATACAACACTTTGTTGAAATAAAATATTTTATTGAATTTCTTTTCGCTTAGGATTTCGTCGTGCGAAACGGAAGTGAAATTTTTTCAAGTTTTCTTTGCGGGTGAAGCAAAATTAACAAATTGTTTGAGGATAAAAATGTGCTAGAAACTCTTAATTAATGAAACGTTGTGTGTGCATATACATTCGTACATACATATGTATGTGTGTATATAATGTATATAAAGCAAGTACTGATGGTGGAAATAGTGATTTTATTTTTAACAACAAGCAATTGAAAATATGATGCATGCCCCTAATATGGTTGCATCATGAAAAGCATTCATGTGTATGTGCTATGCTATGTATACTGTGTTTATATGCCAAATGCAACATTACAATCTTTGTGAATATGTATTGCAGCATTCTTAGTTGCCGAATTTTATATTTATTATTGAAAAATTTCTTTACGGTCAAGTAGCACTCACAACTACAAATCTTCAGGTCTAAAATAAAACATAAAACGCTCCACAATCGCGTACAAACTGCAATTCAAAAATGATAGCTTTGTCGCATCTTTCTTTCGTGCTCATTTTTCGTTGCCTGTAGTATTGCCACACCATAATTTAAGTGTTCTAATCAGCGGGTATTCCATTCAGTTTATTATTCATTTCAATAGAAAATTCAGTAATATTTTAAGTAAAACAACAAGAAGTGTGTATAAAGATATTTTATTTAACGCTCATATTTAGTTTTTCTGTGTTTTTCTTTAATGTATATGTATATACATAAACTCATTACTTCTTTTGATTTTCAGTGATTGATTCACGCTTGGCAATGCTGTGACTGTCATTGCTGGAAATCCAAAACAAATGCATTGCAACGTTGGCGTAGGCTGCGCTGCGAAAGTCGCTCACTGGAGTGGAGTGAGAGCGCACAACGTGTAAATTTCACATATTCTCTGCACATTCACATTCGTACCTGCTTTCGCATGTGTGTCACGTATTCGTGACTGGAATTTGGTCGACCGGTTGTCTTTTTCTGACAAATACACAGTCACCGCAGCTGGTATATTTTTGCTGGAGTCGTTTCAGTGCGCGTTCGAATTTTGTTGACACAAATTGACATACAAAAGTAGGAAAGTGGAAAATACGAAAAAGGCACAACGAATTGCGGAAAAAAATCATAAAACATAAAGGAAGAAAAATAGGTGTGACAGCGCGTAGTGAAAAATACATAATAACTGTGTTAAATTGTGGGAACATTATAATAAATATATTGTGTTGTAAAAGCGCGTTGAAATTGTGTTAGAAACGCGAGCAAAAATCGCAGCATGCAGAGTCCGAGAACAAATGTAGTCAATGGAGCAATACAGTCGCTGCCTAGTACATTGGCTCAACTTGCGCTAAGGGATAAACAGCCTCCGCCGCAATTGCCACAGACACAGCCGCCTTGTGTGCCCAACAAGAGTCATCTTGTGGAAGGTGGCTCCTCGACCACCAATGGTGGTGGTAGTGTTGGTTTGGCTGCCAGCGGCGCTGCCGATTCGAACAAAGTGACCACCGAACTGCAGGAAAAGGAAAACCAAAATCAATTACAGCAGAAGCAGAAGCCGCCACTGCCTGTACGCAACAAACCAATGGAAATAGCGGGTTATGTCGGTTTCGCTAATCTGCCAAATCAAGTGTATCGGAAAGCGGTGAAACGCGGCTTTGAGTTTACATTGATGGTTGTGGGTGCTAGTGGATTAGGCAAATCGACGTTAATCAACTCAATGTTCTTATCCGACATTTATAATTCGGAACAGTATCCTGGTCCGTCATTGCGTCGCAAGAAGACTGTTGCCGTAGAGGCTACCAAGGTGCTGCTCAAAGAAAATGGCGTAAATTTAACGCTTACTGTGGTGGACACACCTGGCTTTGGTGACGCTGTTGACAATACAAATTGCTGGGTGCCCATACTTGAGTATGTTGATAGCAAATACGAAGAATACTTGACTGCTGAGTCACGCGTTTACCGCAAGCAGATTCCGGACAATCGCGTACATTGCTGTTTGTATTTTATTGCGCCATCTGGTCATGGTTTGCGGCCATTAGACATCGCTTGCATGCAAAGTCTCTCCGACAAGGTGAATCTAGTACCCATCATCTCCAAAGCAGACACAATGACACCCGACGAGGTGCATCTATTTAAAAAACAGATACTCAATGAAATTGCACAACATAAAATCAAAATTTACGATTTTCCACCAACAATGGAAGATGATGCAGAAGACTCCAAGACCACACAGAATTTACGAGTACGCGTACCATTCGCTGTCGTTGGTGCCAATTCCATAATCGAAATGGACGGCAAAAAGGTACGTGGTCGCCGCTATCCATGGGGTTTGGTTGAAGTGGAAAATCTAGGTCACTGCGACTTCATTGCGCTTCGCAACATGGTTATACGCACACACTTACAGGATTTGAAGGATGTCACCAACAATGTCCACTACGAAAATTATCGTTGTCGCAAATTGTCTGAACTTGGTCTAGTCGATGGCAAGGCACGTTTGTCCAATAAGAACCCCTTGACACAAATGGAGGAAGAAAAACGCGAGCATGAATTGAAGATGAAAAAAATGGAGGCTGAAATGGAACAGGTCTTCGATATGAAAGTTAAAGAGAAAATGCAGAAACTTAAAGATTCCGAATTAGAGTTAGCGCGACGACATGAAGAACGTAAGAAGGCATTGGAATTGCAAGTGCGTGAGCTGGAGGAGAAGCGCCGGGAATTTGAACGAGAGAAGAAGGAGTGGGAGGAAGCTAATCATATCACACTCGAGGAATTGAAACGACGCAGTCTTGGCGCGAATAGCAGCAGCGATAATGTTGACGGCAAGAAAGAGAAGAAGAAGAAAGGGCTGTTCTAAAGTTGGAAGCATTAATCCTAGTAACAGTATTTGAGTAACTAAAAACACAAAGATGCAAAGAAATAATTAATGAAAACAAAAAATAAACGAAATCAAAGCACAGCAAAGCATAGAAAGACGAGAAGTAGTAGGCCGCTATAAAAGCAATGAGATAACGACGAAGGTAATATAATGACGATTATGACGAATTGTGTTAAGTAATGAAATACCTAAAATTGTATTTAAAATACTACATTAAACAAAAAAAACAAGCAACCGAAACAATACACACACACATCATATAAAGTGACCCCCAAGTTTTCCCCTTCAGCTAAAACACGAGTAATGTTCATGCTCTCCTTGCATTAATTATAACACTATTACCTACTATACATACCTATAAATATAATAAAAATAAACATATATAATAAAGTCTTCTTTAGTTTAAAATTTGTAGTATTTTCATATATATATATAATATATATATATATTTGGATTTTGTAGGCAGAGAAATTACACAGGCACCGCTCCTGTTGATTGATTACTTTCCCAGGATCATATTCATATGTGTTGTTTTATTTTTTTAGATATGCTATTGCACCCAAAGTAGCCAGGATGAGTGCGTATGTATGCTGTATTCACATGTTAATTAGTTTACATTCTTCTCTTATTGATAAATTTTGTTTATTAAACGTTGGCCATAATTGATATGGACCACATGACGCATGTGCATAGCGCTGTTGATGCCGCTTTCTACCCTACCTTAGCAGCCATTCATTAGCGGAGTGACGCGACTAGCGCTATTTGTATTCATAAACATACAAACAATTGTACATACGTACGTATGTATGTGTCAGCTTGTGGATCACAGTGTGTGTAGGAGTGCGATGCATATAATTTTTGAGGTGATAATTAGCGGTATGCTAAGCTGTTTGGCCACAAAACGCCTTTAAGATGATCTAGACTATGTAGATATGTAAGGTCGTTCGCGTGCCATAGACCGTCAGCTTTCAGTTTCTAACGTTTAATAGTAGACAATTGATTGAAGTGTGGAAGAAAAATGCATCCAAAGATTCAATAGTTAATTCTCGGTGGTCCAGTTCATTGTGAGGTGCTTTCAATGTATGTAAATGTATGCATTTCTGGCACCTCCACGCGCTGCAATAGATACTTTCTATCAAAAAAATTTAAATATTTCTTTCTTATATTCTCTTTATATTTATTCTTCAGAATTCAACATTTTCACATTAAAATACACAAGTCCGTTAAATTCAATGTGTTTTTATCAGCATTTTGCAATGCGGAACCGGAAATGGAAAGAAAATTGCAAATGCTTATAGTAATTCTTAAAATATGAAATGCAATAAAGCAAACTATGTTTTCCTCAGAGAAAGTAACATTATCGAAAAATAAAACTGCTAAATTTTGCTGCGAAAGCAGTGAACACTCTAACCATATTTGGCCTTACGACTTAATTTAAAAAATATATACAGTTCAATAACTGAGTGAAAAGTACTAACAAAATGGTTTTCGGGGCAATTAAACCTCAATACGATAAGCCATACATACATGTACAGTATTGTGTGAAATAAAAGCAACAAATTTGAACGTTTCCTAGTAATATTGGGTTAAAACTAATTGGCTCCGAAAACTGCTTTATTCCCGCTATGCCGAAAGAAACCCTGATAGCATGATACAACAAATAAAAAAATAAGAGGTCTGCCGGTTTTTTGCGCAATAGACAATAGAGCCCTATTTCTAGCAGAATCAAAAATAATTCCAAATATTGCTCAAGTTTCCAAAATTCGGCAAAACTAATTATAATGCCTAGAGAATGTTAACTTGTATTGGAAGAAAAAACAAATTATTAAAGAAATTAAAAGGTGATAACTATAAGTTATAATTTTAGAAACTAAATAATAATGATTTCTCATTTAGAAATTTTAATCCAGTCCTAAACATGTTAATGCTATTTGATTTGAATAGTCTGTCAAAACTTTTGGTCATATCATTGTTTTTACTTTAACTACCAATTTTGTGAACACTACTGTATATGTATATGGAAACTTTTATTTCATGTACATTTGTATGTATATTTATATGCAAGCATTCAAATAAAAAGTTGGTGTTCCATAAGCACACATACCAACATATCAATTCAGTGCACATATGGAGTGACACATGGGCATATGTGGACAAGTCGCGTCTCTGCTACTGTGGACTCTGCTGTCACCCGTCCAGGCCGATTCCAATACAACACATTTCCATTTACAGAGGTTACTTAGAAATTGTTTAGCGGTTTCTTTAAGTATTTTGCACCGACAACGCGTCCACGCCGATCAATGAACGTAGTACATACTCGCATGTGTGTGTGGATGTGTATTCACAATTCACTTATATTTGAAGCGTATGGCCACAGTGTTTTCAAACTAACGACCACGCAGAGGAGAGATAGGGTATAGAGTTATGGGGCGACAGACCGCCAAACAGTGTCGATCGAACGGTTGATTGGATGGCTGGAATTCACAAACCGGCGTTCATGTACGAAAGTGAGTCGCTGGTGGGAGTATCAGTTATACATACATACATATGTATGTACTCATGAGTGAGTATGTAAACGTTAAAGTGCAAATATGAATCTTTGCTTTGAGGTATGACTCAAACTTATTAAGAAAATAATATATTCATACGAACGTAAGCATAAACACTTGCATGCATACATATGTACATATGTACATAAAAGAATGAAATATAAATAAGTGCATGTATGTATATATGTATGTAGTGCTATAGTAAAGCAAAGACGTGGTGTGACGTCAAGTGGCGAGAATTCGCGTGGAGCGCTAAGTTATAAGCCACAAATCCCCTTGAGAACTCATACATACATACATATGTACATGTTTATATGCATATACATATGTAGTTAACGCTTTACAAACGCAACCTCCGATCGACTAATGGACATTCATAACCTTGTCCGTAGGTCTGTCATTATTGCTCAAGTGGCGAAATCCGCAAAATTTAATGATTTAATTTACACCGTCATCCACATTTTCTACTGGGCCATCTTCCATGTTAAATTTTTATACTTATATACACTTACATATATATAACGTACATACATACATATTAGCTAATATGCCCCTTTTGAAAGGAGCGAGATTTCTTAATGTTAACATTCTGCCTACTTGAGCGGGAAACGCACGCAACCGTCCACGTTGCCCTCCACATACCACCATGGCCAGTACAAGCACTACGGACGCCCGCCGAAAACATTTGTAAAATGCATTTCAAAAACATTTTTATTTTATTTTCATACCCGAGTGCACTATGCGCCTTTGTTTTTCTTCTTGTCGAATGCCCCATCGAGCAAATGCTGCTGATAAGCCATTGGGGTAAAATGTTTATATATGTATGTACATGTATATATGTATGTATGCATGCGAGTATAAACGAAGTGTAAAAGAAGCATGAAAAAATAAAACAAAACGCTTCAATTAAATATAGTAAAGCAACAACAGTATATCAGAAATTATTGGGTCGCGAACGCCAAGGCATGCCTAAGAACACACACTTGTACATATGTATGTACGTACACAGCTAAGCATACATATTTACTTACATGGGCATATGCACCTCGTGCAGAGGTACATATGTATGAACGCATACTCGCTATATATAGGTTATATGTATTTTATATATACACATAAGTATATATGTATGTACTATTATATATAGTACATACATATGTTCTTGCAATATTCAAAAAAAAAAACGCTAAACAAAAATAAAACTAATAAAAAGACCATCGAATTGTTCTCGAAATATTGAAAAGGCATTTAAGTTTATTTCAATTTTCTTTGGATTCGCAATTGTGCTTATACATATCTACCTATACAGATTATATAATATATCAAATGTTTTCTTACATGGTGTTAATATTAGTAGGAATTAATTAATTTATTTGAATTTAAATTTAAATTTAAATTCGAAATCTTTTTTTTTTTTTGCCTGGCAATGCTTCGTCGACGCACCGAAGCGATCTTGCTGCCGTTGACGTTGAAATGTTTACGTGCCGTCTCTTGCTTTCTACTCTCTTCCTTTTCCGCTCTTCGTGTATACATGTACTCGTACTTGTTCATACATGCACACATATTTTCGGTTTTTGTTTTTATTCGCTCAAAAGGCGATGACTAATAGCTAAGAGATGCTAGGAAATCACCTTATCAGCAATAAAAAAAAACCCGTTATTAATGAAAGTGATAATGCTATGCGTAAAGGTGTTGCGTTATTAAGATGAAATAAGTAGCGAAGCAAGTTTATTACAAAGTAGGTTCTCTTAAAGCATTACACATTAAAAACGTTGTGGAGTAGACGATCTTCTCGCTGAACTAACCAAAGGATGCATAAAACACTGTTCCACAGTGACGTTGTACCTCAGCGGAACTTAAAATTTCTTGCAACATGACCGATTTACCTTCCATTAATGGAACTTAATTTGAGGTTTAGAATTCAGTCGATTTCGTGAATGCAATGCTAAAAAACGTGACTTTAATTCGATTTATGTGCAGCAGCTCGTCAACCGGGATAGACGATAGTCCACGGCGTTAGAGTCCTTGATATGACTTCTGTAATGACAATTGTGGTTGTTAATGGAACCTTAACTTATTCTCTTTCGTCCTTGTCCCGCCCAGCATTACCATTTCCGAAAACAACAGTCAGCTGCCAGTGACCTTTATTTTTTTGTTAAAGCAAGTTTGCCATGATCATCATCGTAATTGGAAATTCTCATCCAAAACTGTGATTTCTGCGTATTTCTTGTAGCGGATCTTAAACAGGTTTTATGGGATACTTGATATAGCGAGCCGCTTGTTAGATTGAAACGAATCCTTAAACCGAATATTTTGTTGTGGTTCCACTGAAGCTTGTTTCTTTTATTTGGCCTCATCCGGGACTCCACTCAGGATGATGACCACATCTCGCCTCAGAGTGAGCAACGGGGACGCAAAAGTATGGATTTAGTATAGCCTTGAGCCTATGTCTGCATCGGATGCAAATTAAATCGTAATACGACTCAATTAGCAGTTCAAAAAGTTTTCAGGACATTCTTTTGAATTTGCCACCAAATTAAATTTGTCATGTAATTGAAAAAAATCTTGCAATACGTGCAAATACACTTCGGCTTGACAATTGAACGACGCTTAAAAAATAAATCACACAGCTGATCGAAATGTCAAAGCTCTTCAAGCCACAATAAAAGGATAATTATAAGCAAGGATTTTCGTTACGATTTATTGACAAGAATTTTCGAAAGTAATTGAATACTTTGCTGCATGCAACAGCCAGTGAAGAATGTAAAGTGACCTACATAACAGTAGATATGTACATGCATACATATGTGTATATGTATATATGTATGTATTGGCAAAGTG